TATTTTATTTGCTTTTTATTGAAAAAGTCTTCTTAACAGTACTTTATATGTAATTCTAAATATTTTGGTAATTATGATGAACTGTGGGAAATATTCAATGCATGCTGTTATCTATAAAATATCTAGGTACATTGATGACATCACGTATATTCAATAACGGTCGTGTGAGTTTCTCTGGTAGTTGATGATATTCCTGAAACTAATGCACCGATTTCAGTAAACTAAACACTGTTCGATCTGTAATCGTATTAACTATTATTCCTGTTAGGATCTAACCAACTGAATGTCATACAATATTGAGGAATTTTTAGACACAAAATGTTTTTTAAAATTAATTTTCATAAAAGGTTCATTATTTTAAACTTTTTAATGATAATTTGATATTTTTATCAACAATTTAATGAATTCTCTTAATTGAATGCACATTTTACAATCCTTTATTCAAATGAAAAAAAGTTTTTTTCAATACAAAATATGTAACTCAACAAAATGAAACACTTTTACTAGAATTGGAAAATTTTGATAAAATATATAAATCAAGTGAATTTTATTTCCATTAATAATTCCTATATTCCTATATAAAATATTTATTTCCAATATTTATCCAATAAAAATCGAAAAAAACCTTCTTTCATCAAAGTAAAAAAATTTCACTAATTTTCTTTTGAAAAAAATGCATCAAAAAATAAAATGATAAATAAATAAATAAAAAGGAAGCAAAAAATTTTCATAGCATAATTGAACATATTAAAACATGTAATTGTTTGATTAACATTAGTTAAGTGAATAATAATTATTTTTCACATGAACCGCTTTGAAGAACATTATTGAGCTCTCGCAGCTCCTGGTAGAAGTAAAAAAATTCTCTTATCAAGCACGATATATCGTTTATTTCCCTTGCAATCACGCTACCTCAAAGTTGGTAGGCACACTAACGTGTTTCATGCGATTTGAATTATTTCCAAATCATTCACAAGAAGCTTAAAAAAATGAACTCTCACACTGAGTAGAAATATATTCTCCGAGTTAAACAGGCGAAAGATAACGAGAGACAGTAACATTTAATGGATGGACAAAATCTACCTGTACATACATTATTGCCAAATGTTAAATTTATGCAGAGGATTCGATTGCGTTTGGCCGCACAAGTGGCGGGAACTATTTATCGATGGCATCGGAAATTATTTATCGCACAGTGTATTTCAAGGCACGAATTATTAATCGGTTCGCAGTGCGACCAGCAAATTATGTGTCTACGCACGAACAGGCTGCCGGGAATCACATTATCAAATGAGTAAACATCAATGAGTACCTATTTATGAATAATATATGGCAAATAAGTGAATATTATTAAGTGACTAGATTGAGTCAAGAGGTGTTGCCCACGTTTGATCTTCTCGCCAGTATAATTAGTACAAATTCGTCGCTAAGAATAAAACTAGTTGAACTTCAAAGAGCTAATTAGAGAGATTATCTGATAACGACTGCAAGTTTAGTTTACACGATCTAGAGTTTCTCACAAACGCCATTGAGTCAAACTATACAGTTCTGATAAACATCTCTTGGCTACCTCACTAGATATTTAATCGACAGCTTAGAAAGGTTTTGAATCATTTCAAGAAGACTCTTGTGAGAAGAAAGTCTAAGTAGGGTTGATGACTATTGGAAATTCTGGGAGAATTTGATAGATATACCATGATAACAATGGAATTTCAACTTCAAAATAAGCTTTGAAGTTGAAATATATCCGAAAAATTTTTTATAACTGTTTAATATTGAAGTCTCTCATTAAATTTTTTATTAATTGATAGCCTTTTGATAAAGTTCAAAAATACCTCGTATTTTTTGTGTTCATGTATGTTTGTCAAACTTGTAGATACACGAAAATTCGTCAAAGCTGCTTTTTTCAAAGCAATGGGAAAATTGAAAAAAAAAGTATTAATTTAGTTATTAATGTTTGAATTAGAGATATTGAATTTCATTGCATCAAAATTTATTTATTTTTAATCAAAACAGCAACAGTTTATTAAAAAAAGAGGTTTTTTCGTCAATTAATAAAATTCAAAGATCTCATTTTTTATAAATAATTTAAAATATAAAAATATTTGTTTTTTTAACGATAATTATATTTATTTATTTGAAATATTGTTAAAGTTTTTATGTCATAACATCTTAAAATATCGAATAAGATTTATTAAATATTAATAGATTTTTATTTGATTTAAAAAATTCTCTTCCAATAAATTATTTATAAACTGTTAACGAATACTCAGTTGAATATATTATTTAATCAAATATTTATTTACTATTGATAAATTTTATTTGATTGAAAAGAATGCTTCAATCAATAAATTATGCGATCTCTTATCGTTTAATCTTTATCCTGAAATCACTTCATGAAGAGCCTGTACACAGTGAAGAATAGATTTGGTACCTAGATACACTTGTATGTTTCAATTTTACCATGTCATAGGCTATGAAACTTAATGGTATAGATTTTTTTATTACCAGAACATAGGGTCGAAAATAGAAATCATAGAGCTCATGACCTTTAACCATTACCCTATGACCCTTTTCTGTCTCGCCAGGAAGTTGTATTCATTTATTGGAAATTGAGTTTCCTTCAATTTATTTTACTCAATCTACCTTCCATCACTTTTTACAGTCTTCGCATTCGAATTTTTATGCCGGCAATCCCATAAATGATATCAATTTAACGTCTAACACAATAATTTAACTTCGATAAAATTTTATTGCAACACTCTTGTAACATCCTCTGGTATAAAACTTTGTACGTGATTATCAGAAACTGACTGCAAATAAGTAAGCTACACTCACTGTCAAACTTTCAAACAAGAATAAAGATTTATCGACAAGTTTAAAACTGATTTCCATTCATCTTATGCTCTATTCGTGTCTAAGAAAGCCGATAAAACCGTTTGACATTATCAAAAACCACCAAGATTCTGTCTCATATAATTTATGATATCACTATGTGATGAAATACCTTATTCTCTTTAATACAATTCAACTTGATATTCCTTCAAATTTATATGGATATGAATAAAATGTATATTCCTTATATAGAAAAGTCTTTTGCACGTAAAAAAGTTTCACGTTAACGTTCTACGTTTTGACGTATCGGTTTCTCGTCTCTCCTTTCGTGAAGTTCATTGTCTGTGACAGATTTTCAATATTTTACACTGAAAAAGCTCCGGTCTGTGCGAGGATAAAAGTGTCAAGAATGTGCAATAGAATTTAGAAAATTCCTGGAATTTTCGAAGAAATTTGTATAGACTCATATATTTTCTATTATTCATTCAGTTTTCTTTAACAACATAAATAGATTTTTTTGGGTAACAAAATTATTTAGATAAACAGAAATTCTATCCAATTTTTCACAGATCTAAAGAATGTAATAATTTGTTTTGAAAAGTATTACTGTGCAGTTGATTGTCTTTTTTTTTTATTCAAATGAATTAAAAACCACTTAAATTATCATATTGTGACATTAATAATTAATGTTTGAAACAACATATTCAACCGCATAATGATGTTTGTTTGTTGGAAAAATCTTCAACATCATACATCATTAAAATTAACCATTCCTCTAACGGTTTTTCAAATGCATCCGAAAATCCTAGAGTGGAATTATCTAGTTTTGTTCCAACAGTCTACAATTTATTTTTATCCATTTGAATTCATTATCAGTTAGTTACCCTTACAAGTTTGTTTTAATTAGCTAAAAAAAATTTCATTCTAATCAATATTCAAATTAGATTTCAAATATTTTAGGTCGATATAAATTTTTCTTCGACTACATTGCTTTTGTTATTAGGTCGTAATTAACAGAGTCTATTCAGTTCTTTTTTTTAAACAGATGTAATGTAAAATAAATTCTGTTCAAATTAGTTCTAGCTCGATTCAAACCAGTTTTTTTTGTTTTTGCTTGCAGACTAGTGTTAAACTACTTCTGGATATTTATTTCCAATATCAACATTAATCGGACGTGAGAGTAATATGAAACGACTTCATCTAACATGTGTAAAAAAATATTCAACATCGGTAGCTACAGAATTACTTTTTTGAAATTAAAAATTGAAATGAAATCAATTATGGTATCATAATTAAAAACTTACAACGAAAATTTTTTTAAAGCTTTAAATAATTATTCAGACATATTTAAACCAAAGAAAGAAATAAAAATTCTTTGACAAATAATAAGCCAAGATCAAGAATATTTTTTTTTTGAGATTAATTAATATTCCAAACAACACATCATATTTTTGCCATCAATATGTTAAATTAATTCAACCAAAATATCCTTGGTACATATTAATTAAAATCTGATTAATTAAATGATAATACTTGTCATCAAATTATACCACAAATTGCATGATTAACATTTCCAATAGCTAATTTATCATAAATACTTCATTCTACATAATACAATTCCACCATAAAATCATGTCACTCAATTTTTATAGCAACCAACCATCAGTTATAAATTTAATACTATTCAATTTTACCGAGTTAATAATCCTCATAACCTGATGATTGATGAAATAATAATAATATCGATGGAAAAATGCATCTAAAGCCAAAAACTAATGGATTCAATTTTTCACACTTTTATTCAACATTGATAAAAAACACTTATTACTTGGAACAAAATTGTATACGAATTTCAGGAAACAGCACTGAAATTGGTCTTATTTTGCGCGGATCCAATGCAATTTAGTTACACTCCATCATTACGTATAGCGTGCAAGCGAATGTGATATTTTGGCAAAAGCCACAGGCGATCGTGCAATCTATTGATGCGTTCAAATTATCTAAAATTACTACAGTGTAATGATTACTGCAAAAAAACAGCTTATCATTTTATTTCAAAAATTAGATTATAAAATATTTATAGAATAAAAAATTATTACCTTTCTATTCTACTGTTCACTAAAGTTTATTGAATAAAAAAACAATTTATCAACATTCTGTTACAGGAAACGTGCGAACAAAAGCAGTTCTGGATGTTGAATCTAAAAATGGATATTGGTTGACTGTATATGCACAAGATCACGGTGTCGTACCACTGAGTTCACAGCTGCAGTTATATGTACAAATTTTGGATGAGAATGACAATACACCATTGACAGAGTTACCAGTTTACTACCCATCCATCATGGAAAATTCGCCAGCTGGAGTTAGTGTACTACAAATCAAAGCATTTGATAGCGATGTTTCTCCTCAGGAACTCACCTTCACCATCACTAGTGGCAATCCTGAAGGATACTTTCTCATTAATACAACGACAGGTAAATTAAAGTCTTTACATGTTAGCCTTGATTGACATTTCAAAAGGAGTTTATTTTTAAAAATGCTTTTAAACTTTTTTAAATACCGTATGATGGAATTTTTTTAAATTAAGAAACTTGACATTCATCAATTTAATCATTTGCAAATCAATTTATTTATTTACTTTTATTCTTTATCAACTTTTCATCAGGTAGATACAATAAGCACTATAAAAGCGTATGTCGGTTTATTTATGAAAAATTCATTTTTTTTTACGAAATTTATAGAATAACGCTATTATTTTTGATGTGATTAAAATTTTTTCAATTTTATAAACAATTTAGTTATTAGTATATTGTAAAAGTAAAATAAAAATATTTAATTGTCAAATTAGTTCCCATTGCCATTTAAGACAAAACATTATCATCAAGAGAAGTTCTTGCCAATAATAAAAATATTCTTGAAGAAAATTTTCAATCAAGTTCCTTTCCATTAATAAACTTCATAATTTTATAACTTAATTTATTTCCTTTTCTCCAAGAACTCTGACGGAATTAGTAACATTTTATAAAAAAAAGAAGATTCCAATTGAATTCGTAATTTAAATAAAGTTTTTTTTTTACTGAGAATAGTTTATTTTCAAATAACAAACTGTTTGTTTAAATAAAAAATGACTTGAATTCATGAAAACGTATTTACTGAAATTGAGTTAAAATATAGCAGCAAGACAATTTAAACATAACATTATCGTATTCGCATGCTTTCTGCAAATAGTATTTCTGTAGTTGTGATATTTATTTTTCAGTTTAAAGATCGTTGAATTCTCTCACACATTATATCAAAAACAGATTTTATTTTACTATCCTATTGATAAAAAGTTTATCCTTATTAATATTAATTTTGCAGATAAATGTGTATATCTTTGATCTTCTATGAGTTGATATAAATTTTTGTATTCGAGAAAAACAAGAATTACTCTTGCACTTAATTAAAGGTACAGTTTGTAAAAGATAATATTCGTGATGAGTGATCAAAGCTATAATGTAGAGTTAGTATTGATTTAATTTTAAAAAAGAAATTGAAGTTATATGATTATTGTACGACTCAATAAACATTATATGTTTGTTAATTAAAAATAAAATTAAACTTCCTGCTCTGGCAAATGAATTTTATTTAAGTCAAAAATAATATTTATTTCAATATTATTAACAACGTTCATTTTTTTGTGGTTGAGAATCTGGTGAATATTTTTCATACTCCATACAAATATATAAAACTTTTATTTAAAAAGAATTTATTTCAAATAATAAACTTTACACTCAATTTCATGTAAAAATATTTTCTACTGTTAGTTTGATCAAATATTTGGTTTTAATAATAAAATTATATATTTTGTATATTCATTAAAACTTTGAAGGTATGAGATTACATCTAAAGTATGTTTTAATTATGTTTAACAACAAAGAACATGATTAAACTCATTTTATAATTTTGAGATAAACTAATTAGTTTGTTTAGAATTTTTTTTCTGACAATTACATATTCCAGAGCATTATCTTTAATAAAATAAGTAAAAATCAAATTTCAAATAGTCATTGAGCTTGATCACTATTCAGTAACAAAAAAGAAGAGCACAAAAAAACAGAATTTCATGTGATAGGTGAAGTTTAGAATCAAAGATAATTGTCATCAATTTTCTACTATTATTATTCTCAGCCAAGCTCGAGGTAATTGTTTTTGATAACGATGAGAAAAAAACTGATGAGTTCATAGGAAAAAAAAGAAAAATCAGCATGTGAAATATATACTGCAAGATAAATCAGTAAATTTGAAAGCAAGAAAAAATATTTCCAACTGAATTAATCAATGAATTGTACAAAAATACTTGAAAAACCTTTCACAAATTTCTCTGTTATTTTTACTGAAATAAAGTAAGAAAAATCATGAATTCATGTGAATGATTTTATTAAAAAAAAACAAAAGTCAATAAGCATTAATAAATGTAATTTTCGGAATCAGTAACTTCATTATACTTAAACGAGTTATGTTTAATTAAGCCGTAATTATCAGACAACAAAATTGGTTTCGAACAATATAATTATCATTAATAAACTTCAAAAATAAAAAAGTTTTTTTTTTTAAAACATAAAATGAACACGAAAATACTTGAATTTATTCAAAGATAATAATAATAATTCATGTTTTCGAAAAGATATATCAATTTATTTTGAAAGGGATATAATAAATATCTTCAGTGTTATTCATTGCAATATATACTACACGAATAAAGTGTAAAAAAACTGAAAGGTTAAAACATGGTAGTGATGAAAAATCTGCTATTGATACGCTAATGGCCATTGCGTTTCGATTCCGAACAACATTGTATATTTATGTATTTGTAGAAAACCGTATGTACGTTTGAGTCTAAATCTAAAAATAAGTCAAGCTCGCACATTATACAAAACAGCGAGTATGAGATTTAAAAAAAATTTAATCAAGAAATTACATTACTGAAAATCAATAAACATACTGTACATGTGTGACAATATTTTGTAGCAATCTACTGATTTTCTCTCAGCAATAGATAGAGTTAGCAACACTTTTCGAACTCAAGTTACGACTTGTACTCAGTTGAAAAGCTTTATCTATCTCGTTATAACTTTACGTAAAGTTTGATTATAAATTCGGATGGTTAATAATGGTCACGTCAATCGTATATGTTCCAGGTCTGATCACTACCAGTGGAAGAAAGCTAGATCGAGAAAATCAAGCTGAACATATCTTAGAGGTAAGTTACTTCATTAATTAAATTTGTTAATAAATTTATAATTACTATTACAGAAAAAAAAATACCCAAAAGTCTCCTAATCTAAGAAAAACTGTTCAATTGGATCCAATTCAATTCTTGATAAAACTTGATCTGATTCAATCTAATCTCATTATGTTTTGTATCTAAATTGATCTGATAAGATCTGATCCAGTTTATCTGCATTTCATCCATCTAACTGGATCTTGAAATTTAAAAATATCAATCTGAATAACTTCAATCAGAATTTTTTGGACCGGTTATTCACCTACAAGACACCCAGGCTGATTTTGAATTATTTAGCAGATCTTTTATCATCTAAATTTATGGTGAAATAAATTCAGATTAAGAAAAGCTTGCAAAAACTCATCAATATTCTATTTTATATAGGAAATAGGGATAATTCATTTTTATTCCAGTTTTATTCCATTTGAAAGCAACAATAGCAATTTACAACTCAAATTCATTATTCCCAATCCACTTGAAAAATGATGGCTCGTTTATCTGATATTAAAATGAAATTTTTACAATGAATACACCAATACCAGCCAATAATTTAAGTGAAAACAATTTTTCAATTTTCAAAATTGATTCACTTTATATCTAACTGAGGCTGGGTATTAAAGTATAATTATTAGATAAAGTAGTTATTTTGATTCACGTGAAATTCAACGTCTAGGTGTTTATGCAATATGAGTATTCACATCGTTAGCATTTTAGCAGGTGTCTCGCTGTTGTATATGCATCTAATATAATACCATGTATAGGTGTGAGAGTACATATATTGCACAAAGGTGAAACTCGTAAAGCGACGCAAGTGGTAGGTAGATGAGCAACATCATACCAACATCAAGTTTCATGGAAGTTCAAAGAGTGTAGGAAGCTACATTGAAGAAAGAAACTCGAAGAAAGGAATTTTTCTTAGCTTAAAAGCTTTCTAGTGATAATTATATCCAAAAGTATCTTCTGTTGTGAATGATAATAAAACTTCCGTCATCATATAACAGTTGTTTTTTCAACTTAAAAGTTGATCCTTTTTGGAGTACCATTACAAACAACTATTTCTTCATCATGAGAAGATAGAAAATTTCGTGTAGTCTCATTTTCAGATTAGCTTCTGAGTATTTTCACGCGATAGCCTGCTAAGATAAATTGAATTTCTCTGCGGGACTAACTGGTTTTTAACAGGTAGATTATCTATTACGGCATATAATTCGCCTACTCTTATTTCTCCTTAACCTCTCTAATATTGTCAAACTGGAAATGAGAAAGAAAATCGCATCGTATAGTAGAAGATTGAAAAGTAAAATGAGGAAGGAAAGAGGTTGAAGAAACTTTCAAGTAGTTGAAGTGAATGAGAGAAAAGCGTAGAAAGAAGAAGAAGAAGAAGAAACTAAATCACAAGTTGAGATAAATAGACAAAGATAGAATTCACCAAGAAAGAAGCATACAGAGTACATTCAAGCCTTTCATTTCATCGAAGCTATCGATTCAGTATTTGATGGTGAAGAAACAACATCAAGGCTTACTTAGTAAATGAATATATGCGCATTGCAGAATACTGGATGACCTGGTATATTATTAAATTTCCATGAAAGGATTAAATAATGCTATTGTTCAGCTCTACACTTCATAGGAAAAAATAAATATTTAAGTTTGCTGCACAATTTATTGGTGTGATGTTCTTCATACTTTGATAAACGTGGAGGAAAAATGAGCGAAGGAAAGTATATTCATGATCTTTTTTTTTTGTAACCAAGTTTCTAAGCGAATTTTACAAGCAACAATTTTCCTTGGTTCAATAGATGCTTGTGCCTGAAGAAGAACACCCATAAACAGGAAACTTCGACGCGTCTCTATTACGCAGTCGTTTCAGTAAAACACTTCAGGCTTTACCCTATTCTCCAACTCCGTTTATGGAAATTGGATTTCTAGGGCGGTCTTTGATGTTTGACCCTAACTAAGGGTCACCGCAGTTTTATAAAACTGTTTCTTAAATGATATAAATCTCTATTGCCCAGAGACATATCGTGTCAAAGTTGATGGTTTCTTATTTAAATCCTATATTATTAAGATTGAATAATTATTGTTTTCCCTAGAGTCATGTTGATGGAATTTTAAAAATGTTTAATCGTTAAAGAGAATCTAGTAAAAATCAGTTTAAAGTAATTGAATAATTACAATTTTTCCTATTTATTTATTGAATTATCCATTCTGGTAATTCAGTAGTCTTGATATTAAAGACTTAGGTTAGAAAGTTACAAAGAAAAATGATAATCAATTTAAAATGAGGTTTAGTCATTTAAAAGAGTTAGAAATAATTATAGATTGGAAATGCAAATAAGTATATGATTTCTAGTTTGTTGATATCCCTGAGGGTTTGTGTATTTTTAGAATAAATACTTGAGTAATTATATTAATGAATAAACAGGAGCATATTTTTTATGACTTTTGTTTCTCATTAGAATTGGAATGAATGTAGGTGGGTATATTACATTTTTTATTATTAATTTTAAAGATAGAACTCTTGATTGAATGTAGATTTTTAATCTGTTTTTATTGAAAGATTTTCATAAGAGCTGTTATTAACTGTGAAGTTGTGTCATTTAGAAAACCTTTGAAGTTTTTTCATTGACAAATGGAAATATGCTAATATTAGGAGTGGATGTATTTATTAATCTTTCGAAAAATTTATTTATATATTTGAATAAACAGCAGAATTAATTTTTTAATATCTAATCCAATCTCAAATTTTATTTATTAACAATATTTATTCCTTTAAGAATAGAAATATTTCTATTTTATCACTGAATTTTCAATTGAATCCCTCTTGAGTAACAATTCTTCAGTCTAAAACAGATTACTTCTTTCAAAGTATTTCTAACAAAAAACTTCTAGGCACACTATATGTCTTACAGAGTCTTCTAGAATTTTTAAAATAATTTATTTCCATTTTCTACTTATTTATCGACTCCACTATTACATTATTATTGCTCAGTGAAATACTTACTCTTCTGTCTAATACCTAACTCACGATAAATGATAACATACATCCTAGAATGTTCGTGAACACTCTAAAAATTTTTAAAATCAAAACATGATCAACTTTCAAAACAAATAAGACATGTTTTAAAATCATTCTAAACATTATTTTTTTTTAAAAACCTTCCAATTATTGATTATGGAATAAAAAATTTAGCATAAATTAGAATAGTAATTAGGAATTTTATTTTCAAATTATCTTTTTTTTTTCCTATTCAATCCACGTTGATTCTCATAGCAGTTGTCAGAAACGAAGTAACTTTAACATGAACCATTGAAAAAAGGTACAAAAATAGATGTAATTTTTTTTCATACGGGTTTGCTAGCTGTACTAATATTTACACGTCCCTGATAAAAATCACCAGCAGTTTATCTTCGTGCATAATAAATAAAAATCCAGCCATTTTTTTATTTGAATACCGTGAAAGTGATGTGATAATTTCTTCTAGCCATACAACACGTATTCACATCCTTCACTTGATACATTAATAACATATATTCACCAACTAGTTAAATAACTCAACTCCAACTAATCAAACAAAAAAACCCCATCAAATCCTTGAAAGAGGTCACCCAAGTGTAAGGTAGATTACCGGAAAATCAGTAGAATACTAAAAAAAAGTAAGAAAATGTACTCCAAAACAAGGAGTAAATGGAGTATTCGTGACTCGTTACTGAATTGTGAGGTGTAATTACATTCCTTCCTTTCTTTTCTTCATAGAATGCATACTTTAACATAACGAGCGTTGAATTCTTGTTCACAAGTGCTCGTGTATGTAGATAGGACCACACACTCAGAGATTAAGTGAAGCTAGACGATATAGCTTTGCCGTAATCCTTCGTAAAACGAAGCGTGATGCAGGTTCACTATTCACGCTGTATGGGCTCGACCACGGCCCAAGAAATATTGGTGCAACCTTATGCACAGACTAACCACAAACCTTTTACCACAGCCTTATTAATCGGTGCAATTTTTCACATTCTTCCGGATCCCAGCGTACATATTTCAGGACGCCACCGGGCGTTCCTTCTCTAGCCTCGCATATTAATGAAACCTTGTTCGTTTATTCCACTCGTAAATTCATTTTTGTATATATCTTACTCTTTTCCTACCTAATATTCACCAATTTCTGAGATTTCCAACCACTCACTATCACTTGGGATTTTTATTATCGTTATATAGCTTCAAATATCTCCTCTCCAGTTTGTTAACTTTCCAGCACACCTATGCATTAGTCTGGATCGCGTGTCGTGCAGATTGTACGTGCTAAAAACACGAGGAAGACGAACACTACTTTGGTATAACGGCAGTCAAATCGCGATCACGTTACGCCTCTAATTTACGGAAATTTTTTTGTAGCTTTTTTTTTTGTTCTATAGCATGGCTTCTATGCATTTATACAAAGATTTCCATCACTTGCTGAGCCTTTTTTATGTCTTGAGTATGGCTAAAAGTTTTAAATTGCAAATAAATGTTTATTGATCTCAAGTAAAAAATGCAGATTCAATGGAATGGATTTGGTTGTATGATTGTGAGTAAAATTAAATCTGATTTTCAAATTAACTCTTATTTTTATTGCATTTTTTTTGTCAAGAATTCATAACTGTTATCACTGAATGATCGAAAGTAATTATCATGGGACTTTGAATTTAAAAAAAAAAATTTTAATTGCATTATTAAAAGATTCATTCTTATCTTTTAATTTTATGATTTTTACATAACGTCAAAATAACTTCCATATTCTGGTCTATTTATGATTTATGTTGATAATTACAAACGTATTTATATTGATGAAACATTTATTTATTTATATTAATGTAATGAAATCAAAGAAAAATATTTTTCACTAACTTTCTCTTAATATAAAAAAGTTGTTATGAATTTTTATAAAAATTGTTTATAAATTTATTTAATAAAAAGCTGTAATAAATATAAATTAATATCATAAAAAATGAAGCCATATACTATAGAAAAAATTAATTTTTTTGTAACAATTTTTTTTTTTTTTTCAACTCGATATTTCCTTTGACATTTTTTTCTTCAGCAAGGTTTTGCCCCATGTATATAAAATTTCAATCAATTTCATGAGCATTATAAGGTCTCGATGAGAATAAATATTTTATATTACAAAATGTCAGACAAATAACAGAAAAAGAATTAAAACCTTATAATTTTACATTACCCTAGAATAATATTATACCTTTTTATTCTGCCATTTGATTAAAATTCCTTTCATCAAGCATTAGCCTTTATTTCTTATTCTGCTTTCATTTCTCCATTAACGATATATTTTTATTGTTACAATTGGTCATTCTCAACGAACACGTTATGCATCTAATTTACCTAGCTTTTGCTCTTTTTTTTATTTCCTTAGAAAGGCTTCTATGCATTTATACAGAGATTTCGATCAGTTGCCAACTCTTTCATGTTCGAATAATGTTTCTTTTTTTGCCTTTTCTCCATACATAAAGTACTAACTGGCGTGCTTAGGTGTCGTAAGCGTTTTCCGATTTTCTGGCTTTCGTCTTAAAAAGAAACTTTTTGGTCCTTTGAATACTGTTATAAAATTTCCATAGATAAAGTTTTGACGTGCAATCAGAGAAAGATCTGATCTTCATGCACTGCCATCATCGTGAATGAACGTATCGAGTGATAAATCTTGAAAACCGTTGAAGATGCATTTCAGATGGAGCAGTTTAATCTTCACCAAGACGAGAACTAAAAGTTTAAGCTCCAGCTCAACCGTCGTATCGGTTCAACCTGGAAATCTTATGTACAATATAGAGACTATATCTATATAACCAAGACTAATATGCTCTTCACGAGAAGCTTCTGGCAGCCGTGTAAGCCATCACGACAGCTATACCGCAAAGTGTTCTCGTTCATGGTTACGTAGGATAAAACGGAGTTTGGTAGCCCTAATTTAGTGCAGATGTTGCCGGCAGAATGTGACGCCAGGATCTGTAAAGACTCCGCGGAGACACTGGATTTACGTCGCGGTCTCTCTAAGTATAAGAGCTAAGTCTTGAGAGGAAATTGTCTATAAATGCTACCTAGAGAACCCTAAGATAATACCACTACCCAATTGACTTATTTCACCTTCATCAAAATGCATCATTCAATCAAAATGATTGTACGACTTCATTTTATCGCTAAATTAACATTATGATATTCACCTCTTGCTCACCTCAATCAATACCATTCGATGCATACATTTGCTGCTGCTACTTTCTTTTAGAATTATATAAGAACTAGAAGTCAGGTTTTCGTTTAGTTCGTTTTACGATGAAATGTTGGATTCATCCTTTTTAAAAAAAAAATATTCGAATGATTAAAAAATGGTTTTAAGTAATTAGATAAAGATAGAAGAGTTTTAATTTATAAAATGGTTTATATGATTAGTTTAGATTTTTTTGAAATTAAAAAAAATCACCCTTAGGAGGTTGAATAATATTATTCATTAGTGACTTCAAGATGAAGATCTTCTTGAAAAACATGTATTTCAATGAAAAATAAGAAAATTCAAAGAAGCTCCTTATGTAAAATTAAGGCCTTTAATCTTTATATTACCATCTTTTGAATTTGTTATTCATACTTTAAACTCTATTTCTAAAAGCTTATAATTAAATATTTAATCAGTTAATAACTTAACTAACACTCTTTATCAATGACTGCTTGTGAGCGTTTTAATTATTGCTAATTATGATAAAATTAAAAAATATACTAAACTAAATTTTGAAGAAAAGATTATACAATTTATTTCAGAAATTTTGAACAAATATCTAAATCCAATTGGATTTATTTTGTTCCACTGTTATATTGTTTATGTTGGTAGCATTTCATGAAAATTAACCAGTTCCTGTTGACCCAACTTGGTTAGATTCTACAATATATAATAACTATCTAGATCCACTTAGATTCAATTTTGCTTGATACTGTATGACACTCATGTTATCTACATCTAACTAAATTTAATTAGATCTTGATAGCCCTAGTGTGATACAACGTTAGGTTTAGCCCAATCAGATCTGTCATGTTTACACTCTACTCAATCACATTTATCAACAACTTTCTTTCTACCTATTATCTTCAATGTAGTCCAAATCATGTCTAAAAAGAATATTTTGAATAATCTAGAATAGTCATTTAGAATATTAATTAATTAGTAATCATGATTACACATGTAATTATATTATATCAATATGATACGAACTTAATTATTTCTGTTAATTCAAAGCCATTAACCAATCAGATTTGATTTATTTAAATATAATTAATCATTGCGTTAACCTGAATTTACCAAAATTTAAACCATTCTCAAGTACTATAGAATTAGTTCTAGGTAGTGTGCAATGAATTCTCTCTAAATCTAATTGAATCTTATTGAATGACTTTTTTTGCATCATTTGTTTGAATTTAATCAAGTCAAATTCAGCTTGATTGACTCAAATTCGCTTATTCTCTACAATATATTTCATCAAAAATTTTAGAATATTTTTACCTAAAAGCTTTGACAGTGTAAGTTTTAAATTCTGTTACGTCTATATCATTGGCGTATAATATAATTCAATATAAAATTATAGTATCTTTTGAGCTAGAGATTCTTGATAAAATGATGCTTTTAAATTAATTTTTAGTTCATGTAAAAGATATTACTTGGTTTAAATTCATTGTATTAATGAAACATGTGGAAAAAGTTTTAGTTACATTACATCTGAAACTAATATGAATAATAATAATAATTATTATTACTCTTCATTGTTCCAGGTAACTGTGAGGGACAATGGAATACCACCTCTGTCATCAACGACTCGTGTAATAGTCAAAGTTGAGGACATCAACGATCATGGTCCTGAGTTTGAACAAAAGTTTTATACTGTTCGTATTCCAGCCTCTCCAGACATCGATAAGCCACTCTTCCAGGTAAAGAATGATCTTTTATTGTATTTTGAGCTATTTTGTTATCATTTTCAATTCTTGTAGTTCTATTATTTGCAATAATCTGAAAGTTCTGTTGCTCTTTGAATGACAGTTGGTGGTGTGGGCAAGAAAAATTGATTTATCAACTGTTGTTATAAGCAAACATAAATTGATAATGTAGTAATTAACGATGCTCCTCCAGAATTAAATAATGCTTTTCTTCCTTGTAAACTATACTTTAAAATCAATTTATTACCCGTGAACAAACGTTCTGAAGATCTTGCATATGAAACATATTGAAAAGCTAGATATATATATTACCGTAATAACTTTTTATTCTATATTACATTCCAATACTTTTTATTGATCTAATTAAGGTTGATTTTTATTTTTACTATCAGTATTTTTTTTAAATATCACTTTTATATTCAAAACAATATCTTTCTCTACAAAAATGAAAAAATAATTGAATTATAGGTTGCTTTATTGGAATAGAATATGAGCCACATAAAATCAATGTGTATCACATAAATCGTCAGAATCATATACATGTGACCTTTTTATGTCATATAAATATTCCTTATAAAATGCAAATTTGATTCTATCATGCTCTGATACATAACCGACGTATCTTAATAAATAATACGATAAATGTAGGCTCACTATATACGCCTATCTCTCTGTTATTGTCTTAATCAAGTTTGTTAAAGAAGAGTTTATGTGACAAAACACATGCTAAATTTAAAAAGTTTTAATCACCCGACCCATATTGTGCATCTCTTATACATTTAGTTAAAGTAAATACATTTTAACTGGGTCAATAACTGAATACAACGAAGAACTAACGAATTTTGCGAGAGACTCGAGTTATGAAAATGAAAAAAATTGAATGAAAAAGTTAAAAGCCGTCCTCTCGTTCTCGACAGAAATCGAGGAACCGCTCTCGGGCATACGACCTTTCGAGAGATAGCGATACGCTGCTCGAGAATGGAACATGGGAGACATATAGCCCCGACACCTTGTCAGGAGATCGTGTTTTCAGGGTAAGGATTTCAAAACTTGGGCACGTCTGCAAATACTCGCCACGTTAAACAATAATCATGGCGATTGTCTAATAAATCAACAAGCGAATAAATTTATTCGAGTATGCCTTGACTATTATAAATGAAGCTTTCTTATTTCTTTTTTTAATCATATAACATAACATATCTATGTTTCCAAGTTTTACTCGTGTAAAAATATTTTATGTAGATCATATACAGGATGTATTATATTTCTACACAGTTTTGTTTATATTAAAACAACATAGACGGTGTATTTAATTGAGAAATATCTGTTAAAGTATTAAATTTAATTTATCATTAAGTTTTCAAAATTTGACTTACCGAAGATTAGTTAAACACCATCAAGGATTACGAAATTCATCTGTAATAAATTTTTTGTCAAATTACATTAAGCATCACTTGAATTTGATTTGCTTGTCATCACAGAGTAAAAATACTTACAAGTTTCCATTTATATCCATATTTGGGAAATGTCAAATTACGATTGAAATTCCAATCGGCAAATGATTTGATGTCACTGCTGCAATTGAAATATTTATTTGTTAAATAAAGTTTAGATTATTGATAAAATAATTGTAATTGGTATGTTTATATTGAAAGACCATAAAGCTGTTGATAGATTATGCACATACTGTATCGAGTCTATACAAAATATTTTTACAAGAGTAATATTGAAAATTAAATTAAAACAGCATTTTTCATGAAAAATAGCTAAAGCTGTAAAGCATTTTGGAAATTTAATTTCAATAAAAATGAAGAATATTACTCAATGAAACATTTCATAATATGTAATTTTTTGCCTTTAAAAAGAATTTGATTTTGAAATATTTCATTATGTAACTATTATATTTATAATTGATCAAAAGAGTTCCAATGCAATTACCTTTATGACTTTTATTGATGCTTCTATTTATTTGATTCAGACAAAAAGTTTCGACATTATTACACTTTTTATTTTGTTCAATCAAGTGAAAATCAAATTGATGAATTTTTTCCTATCTTTCTTATTAATTTTCTTCTTACATTTATCTTATTTTAATTATTTTTTCTTATTAAAAGTTTTTCTGATTCCAGAAAAATTTTCTTGACTCAAGATAGAAACTTATTCATAAAAATAAATTTTTTTCAATAAGCACGATGAAGAAATTTGTAACAAAGAATATTAAAAATTTTATAAGTATCGATGATTATTCAACTGTAAGTTTTACGAACTTTTTGTTTAATTAAGCAATTTCATTGTAAAAGATGAATTTATCTTTATATATCTTACTGAGTAAAAAGAAAATAATCTACTATTTTATTGAAAGTAATTTCAAGGAAAAATGTTTTACGCTTTTGTTATTGCAACTTATTAATGACTACAATAAAACGAAAATGTTGTACGAAGAAAATTACATGATAAAAATTACCATAATGTTAAGTGTGAAGTTTACAATGCGTCACCTTTAAAAAAATTTGCATCTAACTTCAAACCATTCAATAGACAATTACGAAAAAATCGATAATAAAACTTCCTGTTTGATTGATAATGGTTTTATTGGCCTAGATGTCTCTTCTAGATAATTACAAACAACATGGCGTTTTTCATATGAAAACTGCGAGTAAAAATTACTGTGTAATTTTCTTCGTAATTTTTTAGTCTACATTAAAACAAAATATTTCATATTTACTACTAGCAACTATATATTAATTTCTGTATACTCCGAATAGAATTTAATTTCTTTCAAATTCTGGAGAGCCTTAAATATTAATTTTTATCATGATTGCATTTTTTTCTATACATATGTATGCCTTAAATGTATACTTGCTTTTGCTCTACGAATTTCGAATGAGAATGGATCGTGAGTAGCATTAATAATCATATTCCGTATGCCGTGTAATGTTTCGTCACCTTTCGAATCAAAGATCCAGTTAACGTGAAGACAAGTAATCTTTGCATATATTTGCGTATATTTTTTGCACTTTTATGTGCATTGTGTGAAACTTATATTAGCTCTACACACCATCATTGTTCAAAGTCAAATCGATAAGATCGGATGTCGCATGGTAAATCACACGTTTAAGGTACCTTTTCTTTTATTTATTACTGAATCTTTCAAGCACTTTATATCAAAGTCAGTGTGAAGTTCAGCCTTAGTCCGGGTTATCTGTGTAACGCATGAAGAATGAGAATGTAATGCTTAATATTCATTTTTATAGCTGTGTTAAATCATACTCTTCATACTTGTCATCATACTAAATACAAATAAATATAAGTCTAAATAGATTATTAAAGGGTCAACTTAAAAGAAAATATATCCATGGCAGTAAATTTATTACATGATGCACAAACGTCCAGTCAATCATATAAATTATGCCTATTTATAAAGTGAATCGTGTAATTATTTCCTTTTCATTATTCCAAACTAGGTACTTGCTTATGACAAAGATGAGGGTGAGAATGGAAGAATTCAGTATAGCATCAAAGGTGGACGTGGAAAAGGCAAGTTTCGTATTCATCCAACGACAGGAATGGTCTATTCTCAAAAAGGTTTTGAAGTTTCTCAAGAGTACGAGATGATGGTAAGTTGAATCGACATGAGAAAGTGTTTTTCATTCACTCATAAAAACATTTCATTAAAATTGAAACAGTAAAATAAGAAAAACAATTTCTACATTAATTTCATTTTATTAACGACATTAAAAAAAATATTCTTAAAGCAAGAGTTGTAAATAAAAAGAACTCTTTAAAATTTACTGGGGAAAGAAAATTTTTTGTTATTCGCAAACATCCTTCTTTCTTCTTAGTATCACAATTTTATATATTCATTAATAAGAGTATTCTATATTTCGTTCTCAGAAGAATAAATATTTTTTTCATGAAGTAATTTCTTTTCATATTTTTAGAGTTCAAAAAAATTTTACTTAAATTGGAGTAAATAAAATGTATGTATTTCTGGGTAATTGCTGATATTAATAACTACTAACAAAATAATAGTTCATTATTTGAATTCGATTTCAATAATTAATCAAAATAGAGTACAAAATAAATTGATATTCGATTATTTAGATAATTTCGTGACTCAGTTGACATTTAATTACTGCCCAAAGATAGAATCAATTCAAGTATTAATTTCATTATTTAATTAATTCAAATAAATTCTAATTTAAACATAACATAGTCAATATTAAACAAAGAAATCATCAATAAAAGCAAAGCTACGATGAACATTTACATTTACAATCAATACAACTATTTGTTGTTTACTATCAACAAAATAATTCGAGACATTTTTACTGTCTTCCAATCGATAACAAACGTTTTTCCTATTTTATCAATTCTAGATTCGAGCGTCCGACAATGGTGAACCACAAAGAAGTCATCAAACTCGGGTGTCAGTACAAGTGGTAGAGACTCCAAAAAATTCCAAGTATCCACCTGTTTTCAAGACAAACAATCAGACTGCGGCTGTAACTGAAAGCGATCACGTTGGATTCCTTGTAGCTCTTGTTCAAGCTACAGACAAAGATGGAGATACATTGTGGTATGATATTGTAGACGGCGACAAGCATGATGAGTTTTTCATTGGTCGAGATAATGGAAACGTGCTTCTGGCGAAGAAACTAGATTGGGAGACGCAAAACTTTTACAATATTACTATCGCCGTCACTGATGGCGTTTACACAACAACGACACAACTATTGGTCACTGTGATTGATATCAATGATCATCGGCCTGAGTTTTCAGAGAATATATACAGAGTAGCAATATCGGAAAACGTTGACAAGGGTGAGACAGTTTTACAGCTTCATGCAAGCGATAAAGACGAAGACAAGAAGGTATTTTATAGTCTCCATGCCGCACAAAGTCAACAATCGTTGGAGATATTCCATGTAGACTCAATAACTGGCACAATTACGTTGAACGATTACTTGGATCGTGAAGCAATCGAGGAGCATGTACTTACTGTTATGGTTCGAGATCAGGGAACTCCAGCCAAAAGAAATTACGCAAGAGTAATTGTAACAGTTTATGACCATAATGATCACGTTCCTGAATTTACAAACGAAATGATTCACGGAAAAGTTTTTGAAACCTCACCAATTGGTGCGGCTGTTGTAGAAGTGACTGCAATTGATCGTGATAGGGGTGACAATGCTCGAATAACGTATTCCATTACCTCAGGGAATGTTGGTAATGTTTTTACAATTGATCCTGACCTCGGAGTCATACGGATTGCAAGAGAACTCGATCTCAGTGTAATTTCCGAATACATTCTTCTTGTAAAGGCTACAGATCATGGATCTCCACCACTAACAAATACAGTTCCTGTTGATGTGTTGGTTACTATGGCAGATAATGCACCTCCACGATTTTCACAACGAGAGCTTGCTGCTGAAATCTATGAGAACCAACAAATTGGAACATATGTGAAGCATGTCGAGGCCAGGAGCACATCGTCATTGCAATTTGAATTGACCCGAGGCAATAAAGGAGATATGTTCTTTATCAATCCGAGTACAGGAGTAATCACAACAAAGAATCGATTAGATTATGAAAAAAATAAATTTTACAATCTTACTGTAACTGCTACAAATATGGCGGGTGCTTCTGCTATGTGTAGTGTCATAGTTCACGTATTAGATAAAAATGATAATCCTCCAAAGTTTTTACAGGCAATTTATAATGGAGAAATAAGTGAAGGTGCAAGTATTGGCTCCCTAGTATTAACGAACTCAAGTTCTCCTCTAGTTATTAAAGCTGAAGACGCTGACTCAGAGTTAAATGCTTTATTAAGTTACGACATCGTTGAAGACTTACCTAGAAAATTCTTCCACATTGACTCAAGTACTGGTGCTATAAGAACGGTTATGGAACTCGATCATGAAACAATACCTAATTTTGAATTTCACGTTAAAGTTTCAGATCTTGGAAAACCTAAACTGTCGTCAGAAACTACTGCCAAAGTCATAATTTCTATTATAGATATTAATGATTGTCCACCCAAGTTTCTGAAAAACCACTACAATGCTACACTTCTTTTACCTACCTATAAAAATATTATGATTGTGAAAGTTGAAGCCATTGATCCGGATAACCCAAAGGGAATGCCGCTAAGATATAATATAATTGATGGAAATAAAAATGACACATTTGACATAGATTCACAAACAGGAATGATTACAGTACGTAATACAGAGTATATATGGAAATCGTATCTCCTTGATGTTCGTGTATCCGATGGGAAATACTCAAGCGTGACTCAAGTCGACGTCAAGGTCGAGGAATCAGAGAACTCTGGTCTTGTGTTTCAAAAGAGCATTTACGAAGGCACGATAATGGAGAACTCGACAAAAATAATGACGGTGGCGGTAGTGAATGTTCTCGGAAGTGCATTGAATGAGCATATCATCTTCAGTATTCTAAGTCCAACTGATATGTTTGAAATAGGACCAACTTCGGGTGCTATAAGAACAACTGGAAAACGATTTGACAGAGAAATGAAGAGTCATTATGAACTTATTATTGAAGCTAAAAGTCATCCTCCAGATCGTGAAAAACCAAGAGTAGCTCATGTTATCGTCAATGTAACGATTCTTGACATCAATGACAATTGCCCAATGTTTGTCAATCTCCCGTACTATGCTGTCGTTTCAGTGGATGCTCAAAAAGGCAGTGTCATCACAAAGGTAGTAAAAAGTTTGCGATATTATTTGTCTATGTCTATGTTATTCAATTCCAAACTTTCCTAATAAAACTTTGGTAAACCAGGTTCACGCAGTCGATATGGATAGTGGCGATAACGGAGAAGTGCGGTACGAATTGAAGAAAGGGCACGGTGAACTCTTCAGAGTTTCACGAAAAACAGGAGAAATTTCTCTTAAACAGAATCTGGAAGGCCACAATCGTGAATATCAGCTAACTATAGGTGCCTATGATGGCGGTAAGTTAATTAATGAGCCCTTAAATAATTATTTTCTCATTGATTAGCAAAGATTGTAAATTTGATAGAACCCCTAAAGAATTTAGAGAGAACTTAATAAGAGTTTAATAAGAATTTCGTTTCGCGAAGATTTAATATGTGAGTTTTTGATCATTGTTTATGTTTCGGAAATTATTTTCATTTTTTTGTAAAAGTTTTATTTAAAAATTTTATAAAAGTATCAATTTTTTTATCCATTCATTTAGAAAAAAAAACATTAAATTTGTTGGAAAATTTTGTGGAGATTTTGAACACTAAGAAAGCTAAATAAAGATATACATCCACTAATTTTATTCTTTGTGCTTGTACTTTTGAGACAAACTTTGGATATTTAAACTTTTTTCTTTAAAATAAGTCAACAAAACTTTTATGTATGTGTACTAATTAGTCATGCTGGAATGATTCGAAATGTTTAGCACTTTTTATAAACTTTTTTTTATGCAAAAAATAAATTGCACGTATAATATTATCAATAATTATGAAATTGTTTTTTTAATCAATTTTTTTATTTTTTCTTGAATTTTATTAACCGTCTAATGTACCCAAAAAATCTGAGGATGAAATCGATACTTCAATCCTTTGATCCTCTAATCCTTTGATGAATGATAGGACACACATGACCCGTATATGTCAAAGGATTAACACACATAGGTTGCAGTTCAACTGTAAATATTAATTCATGGATTTTTTTTTATATAATATTTTTTCAAACAATTCATCTCATAGAATATCAATAGCATCCATGAGTTGATTCATTAGAATATATCTAGGATTTAAAGATAATTTTATACGAAGATCGGTTCATTATAATTCTCTTTATAGATTTTAGAATAATCGTCTCAGTTATGCTCAAACCTATTAAAATACCTTAATAGGTTTTAAAGAGTACTTATGAACAGAAAATTATGTATTATATTAAATAGATGACTAATGATGATCAATACTTTATTCAGGTCTAACACCATGTTCTATCGAAGTTCCAGTCAATGTCAAAGTGATTGACCGTTCCATGCCATCGTTTGATATGCAGTTTTATACAGCAGAAGTATTTGAAAACATCGAGGTTGATTCTCCTCTGTCACTTTCTATTCAAGCCAAATCAGATTTAGATCGAAAGCTTATCTACAGCATCACCAAAGGCAATGACTTTGAGGAATTTGCCCTCAACTTTAATACGGGTAAGTGAAAACATCTACTTACAAATAGTCTCTTCTCTTTATAAATAATAAAATAAATTTAAATACTTACTTATTGATTTAAAAAAAATTTTTTAATCTTTCTTCAAATAAAATTTTATTTGGTATCTGTTGATTATCTAAAATTTCTACCCTTTTTAAAAATGCTTGATTGAAAATTAGAAATTAAAGTATTCTTGTATCTCCCTGTTTCGCAGCCCCTGACAATAACAATGGCCCCTGTGAGTATAAAAAATCTCGTTTTATTGAATTGCTGTGTTGCTGTACAAATTTAAGCCAAATCATGATTTTGCACTTTTATGTCTAATTTTAAAAATTCAAAAAAAAATAAATTCACGCACGTTTGCTTTGTGATCTTTCTAACAGTAAGCATTTGTAGTTGTATTTCTACAATCGTTACTAACCATAAGTGTCATTCATTTATCCATCCAGATGCATTTGCAAGCATGAATTACACTTTATTATATTTTTTGTTTTGATTTTTTAAAGTTATTTGTTATTTTTTCGTTTCAATTATTCACTTGTATAAAAAATTAAAAGATCTTTCGTTTCCAGAAAACATTATTAGAATTTAAATTTTTGTAATATTGGTTAGAATAGCTTTGACAATTCATCAAAGTAACTAAACTAAAAAAGAGAAAAAAATTTAAAGTGAATTCTTGTAGCAGCATTTGAATAGTGCTGCTTTTAGCATCAGAATTCTTTTTTGGACTTTTTTCGTTAATCATTGTAATGAACGATTTTTAAACTGATGCTTTAAAGTAAACGATACTTTACAAATACTTACCAAAAAGTTTTTCTTCGAAAAAGAAGATTATTGATACATCAAAGATAAAATAATTTCATTTTATTGCAGTAAAATTGCCAAGCAAAGTATTACAGTGAAATAAATCAAAATGTGGTGAAAAGAGTGTCTTAGTAGCTTGAGTTATTTTAAAAGGAATTATTTATCTTTAAATAACTCAATCGTAAAGCTAAAAATATGATTTTAAATTTTTATCGTGATATCTGGGCGAAACAAATTGTCAGAGATTTTTGAAAGAGATTTAGGTACAATCTGTCAAGCTTAAAAATATTCAGCCGATTTTTTCGGGAAAAGGCCAGTCAAACTAAAGATTCAAAACCTTTTCAGAAAAATTAAGTATAATCTAAATGCTCCAATAACATTAATTTATAATTACAATTAAAATTTTTTAAATTCTAATAAGAAAAAAAAATCTTTTAATTTTTTCAATAAGTGAATACTGTCTAAAAAGTAAAATAAGACAAAAAAATGAAAATTAGACTATAAATCGAACTCAAAAATTTAAAAATGAATGTTAGAAAGAACAATTCACTAGTTTCGTTAATAATATTCAAGCTTCATAAAAATAACCTCTTATTATGTAAATTATTTTCGTCTTATTTTATGAAATTAATGATTTGTCCAGCACCAACATTCAAGCTATTATTCACTGAACTCCATAAATTATAATAGTTTTCATGTTTTTCATTGAATCAAAATTGTAATCAAATCAATTATTTTTTTTTTATCGTTTATATTTGCATTCATGTATTCAATGAAATGAATGTACTTGCTCGTCAGCAATAAGCTATATATTTTACGCTTTGGGCCTACAATTTGCTTTTCGATAAACTATAGGTGCAGTTTATGTGGTGGATGAACTGGATTATGAGCAGAAAAAACAGTATGAACTTACTGTGCGAGCAACTGATAGTGTGTCAGGAGTTTATGCCGAAGTTCTCGTCAGCATTCTTGTTAAAGACGTGAATGATTGTCCGCCAGAGTTCGATCAAGATTCTTACAACATATCTGTTTCGGAAGCTGCACCGTTTGGAACTTCAATATTGAAAGTTACAACAAGGGATAATGATACTGGTAAGATAATAATTTAATTATTAACTAATAATACAATTTAATATAATACTAATATATTAAATATAACTATTAAACGAGAATGATTAGAAATTGTATTTTACGATAAAAAAGTTTTAAATTAAATTATCAACGATATAAATATTAATAAAATAACTTTACCGCTTGTTTTTGTAAATAAAGTTACGAATACCTTTTTTTCTGTTCATCTTGTAAATTAAAAATTTTTACAACACAGTCAAGTTTTTCATTGTTTGTTGGTGAAAAAAGCTTCTAGAGTAACTTGATAGAATCTTTCCAACTGGAAAAACATCCACTTAATTTCAGCATAATATTTTTATCTAAAAAATCAATATCTTAGAGTCTAATACTTGTAATAAACGAGAAAAAATTTAATTTTATTAGTAAAATAAAGTTTGTTAATTATAAGATATTTTATTGTTACAGAAATAAATCAAGAAGTTATATATACTATTCAAAACGATACTGAGAATAGTCACGATCTCTTTCATATTGATCCAGATGAAGGAATCATATTTCTAAAGAGATCTCTTGATCATGAAAGTCATGATTCTCATCACTTCACTGTAATTGCAACGGACAAAGGTATTCCACCGTTGTCAAGCACGGCTCATGTTTGGGTTACGGTTATTGACATGAATGATAATCCACCGAAATTTGAACAACCATCATACACATGTTCTCTCTCTGAGGATGCGGAGCGTGGTCAATTTGTAACAGTTGTGACAGCAAGTGATCCCGATTATGTGGATGAAAAACTCACATACACAATTGTTGGTGGTAACGATCAACAGACTTATAGTATTGATCAATCAACAGGAATTATAAGCCTTATAAATATGCAAAATTTTGGTGAGCAGAAGCTTACAATGTTAAACGTCTCTGTGACTGATGGGGTTTATACAAGCTTTACAAGAGTAAAAATTGAAATTTTACCAGCCAATAACCACGATCCGAAGTTTCCAAATCCTTTAATTGAAGTCACCGTAATGGAAAATCAATTACCAGGAAGATTAGTAACAACAGTTTTGGCAGAAGATCGAGATTTTGGTGAATACGGAAATATTGTTTATTCTATTCCATCAGCTTTAATGCGTGATATCTTCGATATAAACCGCTCCTCAGGAGAAATAACAACCCGTAAAAAATTAGATAGAGAATCACAAAAATTCTACGAAATTTCTGTGATGGCAACAGACGATGGTGGAAGATCAGGATTTGTAACTGTACGTGTTAAAGTTGGCAATGAGAATGATAACCCACCAGCTTTCTACTTTCAAGAATATAAAATATCAGTTTACAGTAATATATCAACAAACATTCCATTTACGTGGGTGAAAGCATATGATCTAGACAATGAAGAAGGTGCAAAGTTAGAATATTCCATTTTAGAACCACCAAACTCTGAAATAAAAAATCTTTTCGGTATAAATCCGGAGACTGGAGCTGTATTTATGCTAAAAAATGCAGGTCCTTTAGAGAATCAATTATTTGAATTTTTTATTCGAGTTTCTGACAAAGGAATAAATTCTCATCATACTGACGTACCTTTTACGGTATACTTTATGAGCCAAAAAGATATTCCACCGGTGTTTGAAAGTAAAGAAGATAAATTCTTCATCTCAGAAGCCTCCACTGTAGGTACACCAATAACAAGATTGAAAGCATTCTATAACGGTACAGTGAATTATCGAATAATATCTGCGGGTGACGATGCAAAATTATTCGTAATCAATAAACAAGGTCAGATAAGCTTAGCTAACAGCTTAGATAGAGAGTTGAAAGATCATCACGTAATTGGCGTTTTAGCTGAAACTGACTCGACACCTCCATTAACAGCCTTTGCTGAAATATCTCTTCAAGTTTTGGACGAGAATGACCATGATCCTAAGTTCGAAAGCCTTCCGTACGTGATTAGTCTTGCAGAAAACATAGAGGAAGGTACGTCAATCCTCAAAGTCATCGCTCATGATGAAGATCTCAGTAGTAATGGTGAAGTGAGATATTCGTTTGGTTCTGACATTGGAGAATTAGCTAATGTGTTTACTGTTGACGCTTATACAGGATGGATATCAACATTGGTGCCTTTAGATAAAGAAAAACAGCCAGAATTTAAATTTCAAATTGTTGCTACTGATAACGGAAATCCTAAACACTTTGCACGAACATCAGTTCATGTCAAACTCAAAGATTATAACGATAATTCTCCAGTTTTTACCAACGATGAATACGTTGCAGCTGTCAAAGAAGATGCTCTTCCAGGTACTGTCGTTGTAAAATTAGTTTCCATAGATAAAGATATTGATTTACATACTCCTGTAGAGTATTACATCACTGGTGGTGATCTAAGATCACAGTTTCAAGTTAGATCTACTGGAGAAGTTTATGTTGCAAAAGCACTGGATAGAGAAACTGTTGATAGATATGAACTGAATGTAATAGGAACCGATGGAAAGTTCGTTTTTGAAACGAAAGTTACGGTACAAATCTTAGATGTTAATGATAATCCTCCTTATTGCTTGAGATATCGATATAGAGAAGTTTTATCAGAAGGCTCACACCCAGGCACGACTATTCTAACTGTTCTAGCAACCGATTATGACAACGACGCCAACGCTAAGCTACGATTTTATTTAACTGACGATATGAATGGTAATAATAACGATAAATTCTCTTTAGATCAAAATACCGGAGTCTTAAAAATTATGGGACAGCTCGATCGAGAAACACAATCGAAATATTCTCTGACAGCTCACGTTCAAGACATTGACAAAGCATATTGGGAGTGTTCCTCACAGTTAGAAATCATTGTATCAGACATAAATGACAATGCACCTAGATTTACTATGATGACATATAATACAGCACTTCCAGAAGACGTGAAAGTGGGAACACTTGTCACTAAAGTTCATGCAACTGATAATGATATTGGAATCAATCGAAAAGTACGTTATGAATTTATTGATTCAGCTGATGGACATTTTTTGATTACCGCAGATAGTGGAATAGTAACATTAGCAAAACCTTTAGATAGAGAAACCAAAGAAGTATACAATCTTACAGTAAAAGCACTTGATCAAGGCGTTCCTCAGCTCTATAGTACCGCTAAATTAATCGTAAACGTTCAAGATATCAACGATAATCCTCCAGAATTCACTTCCAAGTCATACTTCGCAAGTGTTCCTGAGATAGATCAAGTGGGAACGGAAATAGTAAGAGTACTCGCAGAATCTAAAGACACCGGAATCAATGCCATTGTTTATTATTCAATTGTAGGTGGTAATGAACATAAAAAATTCCAAATTGACAATAATACTGGAATAATTTCCATTGCAGAACAGCTAGATTACGAGCGAGCGCGTGATTATGTTTTAACGATCCAAGCTGTTGATGCTGGAATACCGCCGTTACGTAATTATGCTTCAGTAAATATCACTGTAACAGACTGTAATGACAATGCTCCGATGTTTAATCAACTATCTTATCGAGCAACAATACGGGAAGATGCTAAAAATGGAGATTATGTGGCCCAAGTATTTGCAAATGATCTAGATAGTAACGAAAGCGGTACAATTTCATACTTCATTGAACGAGGAGACCGGTTAAAACAGTTTCAAATTGATGAGAAGACGGGATTAATTACTGTAGCAGCGCCTTTAGACCGAGAAACGACAGCTAATTACGTTCTAGAAGTCCATGCACGTGATGGAGGTCAACCTGTGTTAGAAAATTTTGTTGTTGTCTATGTAGAAGTTCTGGATGCTAATGACAATCCACCTATATTCTCACAGTCTAACTACTCAGCAGTGATTCAAGAAGATAAGAAGCTCGGCCATGTCGTCCTTAAATTTATTGTAACTGATAACGATATTGCACCAAACGCTGAGCCTTACACGTTTGATTTCCGCTCGGGAAATGATGGAGATGCCTTTAGATTGGAACAGGATGGCACTCTAAGAACAGCAATGAAATTTAATAGCAGGGTAAAAGATCATTATTTATTACATATTCGAGTATTTGACAATGGAAGTCAACCGCTCTTTTCTGATGCTTGGGTTTCTATCAAAATTATTGAAGAATCTCAATATCCTCCTGTAATAACGCCTTTAGAGGTGGTTATTAATTCATACATGGATGAATACCCAGGCGGACTAATTGGAAAAGTTCACGCAAGTGATAGAGATCAATATGATACACTTCATTTTAGTCTCGTTCCATCACTTCCAATACCTAACACCGATTTATTTGAAATAGATCGCGATAACGGCACTCTTATTGCACTACCTAAATTAGACGTTGGAGAATACAGATTAAATGTTAGTGTAACAGATGGAAAATTCAATTCTTATGCTATTATTAAAATTAGCGTAGAATTAATCACAGAGAAAATGCTGGAAAATACTGTTATCGTGAGATTCCGTGAGGTCAGTCCGGAAGATTTTATTCTGAGCCATAGAAAAGGATTTATCAGAACAATACGTAATGCTATGAATTGTCGATTAAAGGATATTGTAATCATTAGTGTACAACCATCGGCAGATGACTTGAACGTGATTAAGTCTCGAGTAACTCGACAAGCCATTCATAATGATCTCGACCTACTCTTCGCAGTACGTAAGTCTAATCCACTCTTTGGTACTCCAGGATTCTACTCATCAGAAAGTATTCGTGAGGCTCTCAATCAACATATTGAAGAACTTGAGGAATCTACTAAGCTTGTAGTGGAAGAAATTGTTCGATTAAAGTGCAATAAAGGTCATTGTATCTATGGAGATTGTTTAGATAGGATAATTTTAGATCAAAATAAAATTACAGCTGTCGCAACAGACGTCATGAGTTTCGTTTCTGCTAAATATAAACATCAAATTGAATGCTCTTGTAAAGAAGGATATGCTGGCAATCATTGTGAGAATGTCGTGAATGAATGTGCAAGAGATCCTTGTCCATCATTTAAAGTCTGCATTCCTGATTCTTCAGTTCAAGGATATTCTTGTCAATGTCCTGAACAGTTTGCTGGACCTTTGTGTGACATTGACATTTCCAAATGTCATGATGAGTCATGTTATGTACCTAGAAATCCGATATCTTTCGGAGGAAAGAGTTATGCTTGTTATAAAATAGACAATGCACAAATAAGACAAACAATCGAAGATCGTTTAAGTCTTTCTCTGAGGATTAGAACTGTCCAACCAACTGGAAATCTTATGTATGCTGCAGGAAAAGTTGATTATAATATATTGGAGATCGTGAATGGTGCAGCGCAATATAAATTTGATTTAGGAAGTGGAGAAGGACTGGTAAGAGTTAGTAGTGTGTATGTAAGCGATGGTCAATGGCACGAAATTCAACTTGAGCGAGAGAGTAACAATGCAAGATTGATTGTCGACGGTAAACATATTGCTCATGGTTCAGCGCCTGGAATAAACGACATCTTAAATCTACAATCCGATGATCTTTACCTTGGTGCTGAAGTACGTCAACATCCCTCGATACTAGGCTTTGAAGATGTTCAAAGAGGATTTGTTGGTTGTATGGATGACGTTAGAATCGCGAAAGTTTCCGTTCCTTTACACATGAGTGGTGCCAGTAATGTTGTTATACTGAAGCGCTTTGCTAATGTAGAATTCAGTTGTGATACAGCAACAATTCTCTCTCCACCTGGAGTATGTGGCTCTCAACCTTGTCAAAACGGTGGAACATGCAAAGAAATCAATTCAGATACATATGAGTGTCATTGTCATGGACGATTTAAAGGAATGGTATGTGATATTGATACTGATCCATGTGCTTCATCACCTTGCCTTTATGGAGGTCGTTGTAAAGTTCTTCCCGAAGGTGGAGATTATTTCTGCGAATGCGTTGATCCAAATTTAACTGGGAAACGTTGTGAATTTGGAAGATATTGTAGTCCAAATCCTTGTATTCATAATACTTGTGAAGAAGGTAATAACGGACCGATTTGCAAGTGTCAAGGATTTACTGGAGATCGATGTGAAACGGATATAAATGAATGCGAATCAAACCCTTGCTTCCATGGTGGAACTTGTGTTAATGAAGTTGGATCCTATAAATGTATCTGCCCACCAAATACGACAGGAATTAACTGTATTACTCCGATTTATTCAACTCCAATAATCTCTGAACACTTCAACATCACTTGGGAGCAGCTTATGTGGATTGGAGTCGCTTTACTTGTTAATCTCTTTCTCATTATAATTTTTGTTACATACAAAAAAATCAGGAATAAGCGCACAAGAGCTTGTACTAATAATATCAACAATGAAACAAGAAAACAGATTGTACTCAATTCTGCTAGATCAAATGATCATGAATTTAAACGCAGTTCAAAACTGAGTAACTTGGAAGTTATACAGGTAAATTATATTTGTTATGCTTCTTCTTTACAAGTATTAATAATCATTTTTAAACTTGAGGACTAAGTTTAATTTCAATATAAATTATACTAGACTCAACATCATGATGATGTAAAAAAACATAAAAAGTAAAAAATCTCATCATGTTTTTTTAATGTTTGATGGTGAAATTTATACCATAATATTATCGTAATTCATAAATAAAAAACTTTCATGATTTTTCATTCAAAGTAAAAAGTAAAACTCTTCTCAGTAAAATAAAAAATATAAAAAGTAAATTTGAAATGAATTCTCTTTACATGGTACATATAAAATTTAAAAGAATCTAATAGCCTATAAACAATAAAACAACCATAAAAACTTTCCGTTTATCGTATTGAACTTTAGCTTTGTCCTCAAGAATACAATAACTTTTCTTAAGCATGAGTTTTTGAATTTTTGGCAGCAGCACTAGTTTATTAGGTTTTTTTGTTGCTTTAAGTTTATGGAGTTTGTGTGATTTTGTTTGCAGAGAGAACCTCCCCAATGTCCTCCCAGACCCGCTTCCTATACCCCAAGTTCGAATAACGAACCAACATACGGTACTTCAGCAGCTGTGGCGTTAAACAATCTTGATACCCTTCGCAGTTACGGAAGCGCCGGTGATGAACTCGAAAACTTTCCTCCTGATTATTTGAGGAACCTGAACCGCAGTACTCCTGTACCCAATCCAACCCTTTCTCTTGCTAATCCTGTGTGTGGAAATACTACTGGAAGTGATACGGATAGCCTGCATAAATCAACTTGGCAAGAACAGATGCATCTTGCTTCATTCATCAGTGATAATGCTAAAATTAAAAATGGTGAGTATAATCATTATTCGGTCACCTACCTCCAGATTATTCGATATAATATAGCTTTTTATACTTTTTAATTTCGCTTTTCGCATGCATCGTGGTTTTTTAATTTGAATTATAGCTTTATTTACTAGCAGAATTATTTCTCTCCTGTTTTTAATTATTTAATACATTCAGGAAAAAAATTATTCACAAAAAGGATAAATGTGTTAAATAATTTCATTTTTTTATTCACGACCTTTGATCATTTGCTAACAAAAAAAATTTTTATGAATATTTTTCTCTTTTGGGAAATTTAATAATTCATTTTAATTAATGATCAGATATTCTCATTTATATGAATAATTTATTAAAAAAATATTTTATTTTCTGTATGTTAAAAATTGATTTTAACTACTGTTTTCAACTCAATATTTTTATTTTAGCTGTACAAAATTTCCCATTTTGTAATAAATAATTTTTTAACAACTTAATAACTTTCAAAAACTCATTTATAATTTTATCTGGAGTTATTATTTTATATAAAATCTAAATTGGTATAAGTTTTGATCAAACATTCATTAAAAGTAAATTAATGCTACACATAGGAAACAAATTTAAATGTAATCTTTTATTGTGAATAATTTTTTTTCCTTTTAAAAATTTCAAAATATGCCTGGGTGTGGCGATAAAATTAACACCGGTGTGTCGTGTATGTACTAACAGACCTGAAACGAGCGAGCCCAGTGGTACCAGAGCTGACCACTGGAGGACTTCTACTAAATTCAACACGCCGGATACCTCACGGAGGTGGAATCTCCATCGCCTCTTTTACACCTGCAGAAGATGATCCACGCATCGTTGGTGGTAAGTGGATTGGCTTAGTATCTTGAACGCGAGGGTGACTTTGCTTGCGAGAAAACTGCTCTATTTCTTCTAAAAACGCTGTACTTGATTTTATACTATTAGAATCGACTAATGCTGGTTAACGCATTTACACTGCATGGTGAGTCCCGAATTACAGTTGTTTCATATTATGTATTTTAGGGTATCACTGGGACTGCTCAGATTGGGTCAGGCCAAGTCAGAACCCTCTTCCTAATATCACGGAAGTACCTGGTAGCGAAGTTCCGGATTCGTCGAGCTTCCACAGTAACGAGAGTAACGAATCAAATACCCACCAGCTACCGTCCAGTAAGTGAATTTTCTTCAAAAAAAAAAATTTTTTATTTATTTACACTGTAATTTTATTAAAACAAATTCGTTAAGAATAAAAAAAAATGTTTGTCAAAAGAAAAATGATAATTCTCAAAATACTTGGTTTAAAATTTGTGAGAATATTTCTTTTTACTAAAAATTCTCAAAAAAATAACATCATCTAAATATTTTCTATGTCATTAACATCCAAGTATTTTTTGAATAAATTATCTTTTTGAACTAAAATAATTTATATTTTACAGTGCACGGAGTCATAGACCCATCAAGAGATATTTCCACTCTTAATGAGGATCAAGAATCTGAGTACATTGGTGATTCTGAGTGTGGTACAGAATTTTCTGAAAATTATAACTGTGCAGAAACACAACGATTAAATCCTCTAGACAGCGGAGGCGAAGGAGAATATAAGTATAAAGACTCAGAGAGCTACCTCAGGCATCCGAATTCATATTTGCCTCACTACAATATTCATACAGACACAGAAAATGAGACAAATCCGCTCAATGGCCGCCTTAGCACTTTGGAATCCGATGAGGAAGAAGACGATGTAGTGCCTTACGGTTTTCCGAGCATTCGACGTAATAGATGCAAAGGTGATGATGCTGATGAGATTGGTTCTGTTATCACTACTTTAGAGGAAAGAAATTCCCTCCTTGGAGGTGGTACAAGTAACAGTGATTTATCTACCAATCTCTGTGAAATCGATGATTCGGAATACGAAGTGAATGATCAAAAGAACAACGGACGTCTTTGGCTTTCAGGTAATGGAATCACACAAACTTCTGTGTGACATATACAAGACTTTATTCAAATCTCACAGCAAACGTTCGTGATGTTTGTGCTTTTTATTAAACGGCAGCTGTCGTCAATTCACCATTTTGTACATATAAATTTTAACAAATTATCAACATTATTATTACTACCGATTGATTACTAATTGAAAAACCATTAAAATTATTAAGGCAGCTACATAACAAGAGACTGACTTCTAAGACATTCGCGCGACTGTCACTAGTAAAAATTTTTTTCGAAAAAATTAAAAAATATAAATGAAAATCTCCTTTGATATAAAAAAAAAATTCAATCAATATTAATAAGTACTTAATTTGCTGTAATATCAATTTTTTACTTGAATATTTGAATTGATTGCAATAATAGAAATCATAGTGATTTATATAGTCAAAATAAGATTGGAGATTTTCGGCAGAAATTCTTTTTAAATGATATTGTAAATTATCGCTATAATTTCATGAAGTAACGATAATGTTAGACCAATGACTATTATTTAGTATTTCGTAAGTAAAATTAATGATTCGCAAAAAATAAACGTAATACAATATATTCCAATGAGAGAGAAAGAAAAGATGAGTATAAAATGAGTACTATTTTCTTTTGTATTTTTTCAACCGATAATTTTACTTTAGTTAAGAAATCGACATATAATGTATAAATGAAATGATCAACTACTTAAACGTATGAGTGTTAATATTAATTTATAAATTAATGAAAATAGTGACGAAAACGTTAAATGCCATAAGATAAATATGGCAGGTATCCCAGGTATTGGGTTGAAGCAGTAAATATAGAAATTAGTGATGCCCAATCTGTACAAGAATACAATATAATAGTTGAAGAATATGAAATATTTTTACTGTGATGATAATAATGTTTGTACGATAATTGAAATTATCTATGTATCATATTAGTAATTAAAAATGTTGAATGAACGACATTTTATGTAATAAGGAATAATTGATAAGTATAAATTAAACAAAAAAAAAAAGAAAAAACAAAAAATAATGAAAATACCACACAATGTGGTTCTTCCTGTATATATAAATATAAGTAACATAATAACGACAATGTAATTCATTTTCTTCCATTCAGATTTTTTAACTGCCAGTCATGTATTTCTCTTTAAAACTGACGACATTTATCGTCATTTTCCAACGACGTACTTTTCCATAAGACTGCTTCATATTGCGAATTATCTATTAAACATTTACACTTTAATCGTGTACGTCGTATATCATTAATTTAAAGAACTTGTAAACAAATCTGAATAAATTCATTTCAGTTAATTTTCTTTTATTGAAATAAAAAATAAAACACAACTCATTATAAATTTTTCGAATATTTTTTTTCATTTATAATCAACAAAGATAAATATAAGTTCAATACATTTATTATTGAAATAAGCTAAAAATAACTTTTTGTGCAGAAATGAGTGAGATAATTAAGAAGAGTAAAATTTCTGAGGCAAGTTACTCAATATTGTTGAAGAGTTTTTTCAACTAACCTAATTTTTACTTTACAATATACGATATGAAAAAAAAAATTAATTGCGTTTTACTGCCAACTAATTACAAAAGCCATACATGACAATTATTTTCTGGATTATTTTCAATAATATAATGGAGATGAAAAAATGATAACTCATAATTACACAATATCGGTTATATTTTTTTTAATTAATTGAACTTATCTATAAATAATTATTGTTATATAATAATCATTAACTGATTCATTGATTACACTGTAATGGCAGCTTTAAAGGATCATTTACATCCTATCTCATTCAACAGACTTGAAATGACTATTTATATTTTCATTATAACAGCAATTCTTTGTACACTTATCATCTAGATTATGAAGAGGATGTAATATGATCACAAATGGTATTAATTTTTTCTATCATTAAGCAGGGTGAATCTTTTTACTATCAATATGGAATGAAGTATGTTTAATGATAGTATAGTGAATGAAAATGTGGCCATGCTTCTGATATTGAATTTTTCATAGGAAGCTACTAGCATGAATAAATGTTTTCTACATTTGTTCGACAGTAAAATAATAACTATGTGTAATTTATTTAGTTAATTGTATTAATTTAAACATTTATTTATGGCAAAAAGTCTTGAAAAATGTGTTATTTATTGGTATATTATCAATTGATTTTTTTTTCATAAAAAATTAATTTAAATTGTTTTGCTAAATAATCATATGAATGATGCTGAATCAAAGGTATATAGGAAAAATGTTTTTATAAACTGAGCTTGTTACATTTCATCATTATATAATTATAAAATGATTAAAGTATTACAGTAAAGTGGCAAAATGGGTACAATTTGAAATAATTTCTGCTAATTGTTTTGAATAGACTCAGAAATAGAAAACATATCGACTCAAAAAATGGAAAAATTCATAAAACATTTTTGAAGAATGCAATGAATCATCTTAAGGCTCTAAATTTATTTGTATAAGATCAATTTATTGTAATAAACAAACAACCTTGCCTATATTTTATTGTTATTCTTATTTTACCTTTTGTATTTCTGTATATCCTCAATCCAAGCAATAATTTAGATAAATGCAAAAAAAAATGATTTGTCTTAAAGAGCAATTCTACTTGATACAGTTTATCATAGAATGATTCTCTGTCAAAGTAATTAAATTATTTTCTCTTAGGAAAAATCCTTATATCATATATTATTGGCATGAATTATTAAAGGATGTATACACAGAAAACATTTCTGACATTTTAGTTTATCAAGACTGATGCAAGTAATAAATTCAAAAGGCCGAACGTTCTATTCAGAATTGATCTGATAGACTTATTAATATTCTTCCCCAATACCTCAAAATATGTAGTTTCATGCAGTAACTTATGAGCTTTATCGGAAAATGAATCTTTTTCAAGTTTAATATTACAAGTTATAATGTATTCCAATTATTCAAAGTGCTTGAAAAATTTCTTAAATCATAAATAAAAATAATAAATTTATGGTCAGAAGTTACGTCAGCTTTTAAGAAAAAACTTGGTAGAAAAGTTTATCAAATAAATAGCGAATTGAAATATGAGAATATCAAATTTTATTTCAATTTTTAATATTTATATACATACATATTTCTTATATTTAATTCTTAACTAATTAAGAAGATGTAAATAAACTTATTCTTAGAAATTTTATAAGATTTGTAGCCACTTGCATATGATATCAAGAAAATAATTAATGGTTATTACTTTATAAATGTTTATTTAAAAAATAACTGTCGATCAATAAAATGTAATATTTGTTTATAATTTCTAATAATAATAAAAATGTTCGTTTAAACATTTCAAATAAAATAAAGAGTTTTTAAAATTTTTCGTTTACTTTCCTTTAGATTTTTACATTGCTTACATATGAAGTATCTATCCTCAAAGTTTCTAAACTTTTCAAATAGATTATGCCATCCATAAAATTAATATCAATCGAAACTTTTCAATAAAAAAATTTCTTAACACACTAATAACATAAAAATTTGAATATAAACATAAGAAATGAATTGAATTACAATTAATTTTCATTTGTAAATTTCTCATAATTCATCAACCAGTACGTGCCCTTTCATTCGTTATAAATTCTAAAACATCAAAACATTAGTACAAATATCGTATAATTGAGTAATTAGTATCATTTAGTCATTGAATTAAACCTAATAGAAGAAAGAAACAGATAGTTCGTCGATGATTATGTGTCAATTGTTGAAATAGATGAAAAAGTTTGCTTTACATACAATATTGTTAGACCAACAAAAATGATTTAGTTTCACCGCGTTCTATTTGCTGGGAACTTTTAAATATTTCAACTTTGTTCATCATGAATTAGGTTATCAGTCTTGATACTCTAAAGTTTATCTGATTCATTTCTTTACTCTTTTTTCAATTATTGTAAGCTTTAAGAATATTTTTATCTCTACTACTTTCCATTGATGCATATTTTTTAGGCTTTATGATTTTACTATTTTCTTTATTATTACACGAATTATCTGAATCCCAATTATCATCTGACGTGTTTGTGCTGATTCTTGACTCAGGTATGATAAAATTATTATTTCTTATATGATCTGTATCTGTACTATCTCTATTTTCATCAGAACTTTCTGAGTTTTCATAGATCTTCATCATCTGATATTTTTGAATAAGTCTCTCTTTCGGTGACATGGTAACTAATGACCGTGGGAAATTATATTCTCGTTTGATCGGTGTCATTCCAGTTGGCTCATCTTTTTTCAATTCATCTGTCAAGAATTTCTCGATTTTCTCATTCATACTTCCTAGTGTTGTTTTGATTCTATGTACATCTTCAACCATCTGGTGATTTTGTTGTATCATTTTGTCACTTTGATTAAGTGTGCTTGATATGATATCATTTTTAAAAGATTCAAGGAAGCTTTGGTGACGTTTTTGTGAACTTTCTATACAATTTTCGATTTTCTTTACATGCTTCAAAGATTCGTCGTACTCCGATTGAGATTCTTGTTTACGATCTTTTATTGAAAAGTCTACTGAATTTCTGTAGGAGTTTATTTCTTCACAATTCGTCTTTAAAATTTCTTTTAAGCTTTGCGCTATTTCTCGACTTCTTATTGTTCCTTGAGTAATGGTTTCTCGATTTTCAGTTATCATTTTCTCGACATTTCTTTCTAAACATTTAACATTTTCCTGAACATCTCTTTCAATATATTCCCTTAATTTGTTGTCTTCATCTGTGATATTTCGTACACTTGTTTTAACATTTTCTGATATTTCTATTGTTTCATGAGAAAGTTTGATTGCATTATGAGTAAACATTGCTCCTTTTTCTATAATTTTCTTTCGTTGGTTCCACCATTCTTCGTCTAACTTTTGTAACATTTCTTGATTTCTCTGTAATTCCTCTTGATCTTGAATATTTTTATTATGAGCTGCAATTGTATTTTCCATTTGTGCAATGATCGAAGTATATTCAGCCGTCTTTGTTTCATAGACATTTGCCACTTGTTGTATTAAAGTTTGTACAATAGATCCAAGGTTTTCTTTCATTTCCATCTCAATATGAGCCAAATTTTCTTCTGCATTATTATTTAAATTCTCTTCTGTTTTGACTGCAAAATCTTCTGTTGTATTTTCGAAAAATTGTGTTTGTTTATCAGCAAAAGCTGCCACATTTTTTTCTTGACAATCAATCCAGTTTTCGTTGTTTTTGTGAGTTTTTTTTATGTCTTGAAGAAAATTGCTAATCAACTTATTCATATTATTTATCGTTTCTTTTGATATCATGTTAATCGCGTGGTCAACAGCTTCAGAATTCATTTCTATTCTGTCTGAAAGAAAGTCTTTATTTTCTTTCAAAAAGTTCTCAGATTGCTGAACAGTATTATCGAGATGAGTTTTTACATTATCAAAATCCTCATTTACTTGCTGACTAAATGAATGAGCTTTTGATAAATTTTCATATTCAACTCGATCTATTCGAGCAATTTTTTCATGTAACTTCTCTGTGTCATTTGTTACAGTTTCAGCTACGTTCATAAGAATTTCTGCTTGTTGAGTAAGTTTTTCTTTGACATCTTCATAATTTTTAACCAAAAATTCTTGTATTTCTTTTTCTTTCTGAAGTAAGTTTGCTTTTTCTTTCGTATTAGTATAGTTCATATTCAATTCATCAAATAGTTTTTCTTTGGCTGCCAACGTTTCCTCAAGAGCTTTGATGTGATTTAATTTTTCCTCAATTTCTTTTTCTTGAAAAGCAATAGTTGCTTGCTGATGAGCATAATCTTCTGGAGCTAAATAAACTCCATTGCGTTCGCGTGCAGCAACAACATCACGTTTTAATCGTTCGATTTCTTCTGTGTATTCTTTGATCAATGTAGCTTTCATCAACTTCTGATTGATTTCAGGTCTGTTAGTGATATTCTTCGCACGATGAGCATAATCCAATGTCGATAAAGTTTCTTCTAAATTCAAACTCGACGGAGAAATAGTAGCAATAATAGAGGTTTTAGTACGTCCTCCAAGTGACTCTTGTAATAATCGAGTCAATTTAGATTCACGATAAGGAACATGAGGTGCTCTCTCTACTAAAGCCGTTATTACACGACCTAGAGTTAGAAGGGACTGATTGATGCTGCCTGCTTCACGTGCTCGTCTATCTATTGCACCAGATCTACCAACATTTTCACTACCTGCCAGATCAACTAAGTTAAGCTTTCCTATTTTTATCAGCTCTTCACCTTCAAGAGTCACTTCTTTCATGTGAACTGTTACAGAAAACACTGTATGAGACCTGCTCGAATGTGCATTCATCAACGTTGCAGCAGTTTGACGTCTTTCTGAACCTCTTTCTAAGATTTTATATACTTGTTCTTTATTGTGGACTATTACTTCTTCTAATCCTTGAATGATTACTGATCCTTTTTTCGATGTGTCATCATACAGCCTATAAAAAATATCAAAGTAAAATTTAACTTAGGTAAATTTACATGAATTGTTGTCATAGTAACCGAAAACATAATAAAACATTTATTTGATCTGAATTTTTGAATAAATCTTACCTGAGTTTAGGTGTATCATCTCCTGTGTCTAATAAATCAAACAATTCTTCATTGTACAACTCAAGAAAACTAACTTTAATGGTATGTTCAAGAGATCCTTGAAGTCGTAATTGGTCAAACAAATGACTCAGAGATCGTGGAATAATTCCTGCTGGGGTGTTCTGTAAAAAACGGATAAAGTTGTCATTTCTATTGTTGTCACATTATATTCAAATAACCATTTTGTCAAAGAGCTTATATACTCACAGCTTGCCAATGTACTGCAGGATCGTTTAGATGACCCTTCCATCGTAAAAGTTTTACCAGTTCCAGTTTGACCATAAGCAAACACGGTACAATTATAGCCGGCTAATACTTCACTGATTAATGGGCTGACGACTGAATTATAAACCATGAGCTGTAATGAAAATTTTCGTTGCACTTTTTAAGTTATAAATATTTAAATTTCACTCAGAAATGTTCATGTTCTAAATAAAATAAAAATAAAAGCTGAAGAAATGAGTGACACTGTATTAAATAAACAAAAATCTTACCTGATTTGACTCAGGACCAAAAACTTTATCAAATGTAAATTTTTTTGTAGTCCTGTCCGTTATTTTTTCTCGAACATGTAAATCTTTTGGAGGTGTAACCTCAATGATGTTATGAGATTTTCCATTGGATTCAGAAGGATTAAAAGGTCTATGAAAGCAAAATAAAATTGTTATGTCATTTGAGTTAAAACTAATTTTAATTGATAATAATATTGGAAAAGGCAAGCACCACAGTGAATGTTGTATATACAAAAATGTTCAAACTTACCTGACTCTAACAAAAACTTGGATGTGTTGATTTTTATCCTTTCCTCTGTTTGGTTGAGATTTATTCATTTTAACAATTTTTTAACTTTCAATGAATCAAAGAACATCAAAAACTCGAATAACTCCAAATGTTTGTGCAATGTTTTTAACTTTTAAAGGACCTCGATGCTGATACAACTTCAACGATTCACACAATGGCGAGTTATGAACGTTATAACCGTTGAAACTTTATTTCAAATTTGTAAGCCTCTGCGCAGGCGCTCCGAAATGAACGCGGAACGATCTGTATTATCAGTCGAAACACTGAATGAAAGAGTAGACTTGGAGGTTATACGAGAAATTTTTTTTAAAGTTGTTATGTTTATTATATTTTATTTCAAGTTATTCTAATTTATTATTTATTAATAATTGTTATACAGAAATTATTTTATATGAGAAATCAATTATTTTAAGTTGTGAACAAGCTCAGAAATAATTTGTGCGCATGCGCCAAAATAATTTCCCTGTATAACCTCCAAGTCTACTTTTCCAGTGTTTCGACTATACCGACTGTAGAATCGAAAATAGTTTAACAAACTAACACTCGAAGCGTTACGATCAAGCGCGAATTTTTAATTACATGGATTGACTACAGCGCGTCCAAACACATTAGGCGTGTATACATTCTTTGGATCATTGGTATTAATTTATTGTGATACTGATAAAATTATCAGTTGTGTTAAAAAAAATAGGAGAAGGTGAGTTTGTATTTATTATTTATCTTGCATGCACTTTTTATTGATAATTTATTTGAAAAAATGTAAGAGTTGAATTGATTTACGTGAGAATAAGTCAGAGAATATTCAACTGAGATCAAATTTTTTTATACAAATTTTTATTCATGATAATAATATTTAGTAACAAAATTATTAGCACTAATAGCAAAAAAATTATCGTAACAATGCCCTTATGCAGATATAGAAATCATCTATTCATAATACTGATAAATATTTCGAATAATTGCTCGAATAATTAAAACCAAATCATAATTTTCGTACATTGTAAATACATCTTTCATATCTATATATATACAACGAATAAAATAATAATATATATGCATTTGTATATGATTATTAAATAATAATTAATGAGAAAATTAATTAATAGTTTAGATTCTTTCTTCATAAAACGGATGTATTTTTGCTTTCCATTAATAACATATAAACGATGAAAAAAGATCCAATACATTATAAAATTTTCAGTAACATTAACAAAAATAAAAATCAAATTATAATAATAAATAATAATATTAATGATTTAACAGTCATAGACATCAATACTATTGATCATAATTTTGAGCTAGGCCTTTATAGAAAAAAATTTTCTTCACAATATTAAATTCACTTTGCTTTGTCATCAAATAAATTAATTTTTTACAATTTATTAATCAAATTTCGTTTAATTTTCATCATCATTTACTCATTTACTTGATGCTTACACATTTCTTAATTATAAGAAAGCATTTTATTGTTTATTTGATGTTTCATGCCAATGTTTCTTTCAATACTTAATGTTTTTATTAATTCATTTTAATCTAAAGTCGTTATTATTGTTTCAAATATTTCATCATTGTAATTTTTTTTATCTATATTATCATCATACTTTTACCATTCAAGTAAATTAGGCATTTTAGTATGATTTTAACAATTTTTTCTTTTATTATCTATTTATCCATTTGTTGTCTTTTACTTCAATTTGGACGATATATGGAAAGCTGTTTAGTGATTTACAAAAATTTTCTATTCTTCTGAAGCTTTCAATTTCCATTTAAATAATTTAATTCTTATGATCCTTTATTTTCATCTGAATCATTTATATAGAATAAAAACTATAATACTAATAAACATAATTATAAATATGTAACAATCTTAATTACTATTCATCAATTAATTCCAAATTATTATAGCGCATTTTTAAAATTATTTATAAATAAATAAACTATTCAGTTAGTAAAAAAAACAATAATAAATGAAGTTTACTACGCTTGGACGGTTAAGACGATTAATTATTTTTAAATTAAGGTATTATGTAATATTTTTCCTTTTTTCATTCTTTTTATAACAACTATAGCAGCTCTTTACTCATTGTCAAGTCGACCAATTATTTAGAATTTTTCGTGAACAAATAATAATCAAAAACAAATTGACGGTTACTTAAGCCGTTGTGTTACGTTAGCCAAAGCAACAGCAAAAGCTTGAAGAGCACTAAAAGGATATTGAAAATCCAGAGTATAAGCGTTTCCGTCTATTCTACCAAATTGCATCACCTGAATATATTTCAAAAAATAAAATAGTTATTAAGTGTCTCTTATTATTGATAAATCATGATATATATTTTTTTCAAAGACAAATCTTATTCCAACTCACCTGTTTTCCTCTATATTCAATTTGAAAATTTTTAGCGCTTTCTTGAGTCACTCGACCACCAAAATCCAATTGGTACACTTGACTAGATTCGTTCCACATTGGTGCTTTGTTATGCATCACAAGCTCTTCGGGTTTATGTCCTGAAGTTCCAGCTCCTCTTTGTTTAAGCTTGAAATTAATATAAAATTAAAAGGATATTCTCTATATTTACTTTCGCTTATTAATTTTAATCTATGATAAAACTGAAAAAAACCTTTTGTCGTAATTGAGCCTTCTGAAATGTTTCCAAGTTCCTATAACTGCTAGAAGTATCATCCTGGGCTTGTGCTTCATCATCTGAGCTTTCTCCTCGACTTTTTCTTGCTCTCCGACTTAGCAAAGGACTTGATAAAAGCCTTCTTCTAATTGGTGATGCTGAAGCTGGTCTTTTTCCTTTTTTAGACGGCGCCGGACTACTTGGAGAACTTCTTGGTAATCTAGTAGTCGGTCTTGGTGACGGAGGTGGCAAACTATGGCTATCTTCAAAGTCTCGAAGTCTTGCTGCTAATCCATCCAACGATGATGATAATGAGTTGCTAGATTTTGTTTCCCTGTTCATCATAAAAATAATAAAATAAATAGTCACTTTTAATATCATCATAAAAGTTCAAACAAATATTCATTTCATCCTTTGACTTTTTAACATTATTGATTCTCAATCAGATTAATTTAATTCTTTTAATTTCTTCTCTAATAATTTTTACTATTTGACATTTTTCTTTAAAACTTTTAGATGTTTATTAATAAAATAGAGCTCTTGTGTGTTAAATATCAAAGAAATAAAAATATTCCCTTTCGGATTTCTGCTTAAACTTTAAGTTAAAAATATAATAAACATCTTACCCAGTCGGTGATACGTTTTTTTGAGTAACTTTATCTTTTCCTAGATTTTGTTGAAATTCAACATCAATCTGCCTTTCACTAACAATACTCTTTTCTTGACTTTCTGTTGCTTCTGTCGTTTGCACTAATTCTTCCACATGTTCTGGAAGCTGGGGAGGTAGAGAAATCTGTTCAGTACTCGGAAAAATATCACTAGAATCTAGACTTCGAGATTTTCCATATGTTTTGAGTCTCGGCCTTGCACATTGTTGATTAATATCATGTTGTGTTTTATTTTTTTTTCGCTTTTTTGTTTTACGTGATACCAAAACCAGTCTTTTATTCGGCGCCTCTTTTCTTAACATTTTCAATGCAACATCACAAGGTACAAGTTGTGCATCAACTAGATCTAAATAACCAACACTACAACTCCTAACCATCGGATCTAAAACAGGGCACATTGGCCCAATGCTAACAACAGTCGGTGTTCGATGAACACTTGTTGCTTGTCCAATCGAATCCATATCCCTCAATTCATCATCAATAAATGTTAGTTCTTCAGTTTTCCGAGACGATACGCCAATATGATTTGTACAATTAACATTAGTTTTACCACACAATCCAGGTGTTTTAATGTCCTTACGTTTATGAAAACATTGATTCTGTCCGCAGACTTGACTTGCATAACATCCAGAGTTACAAGCTTGATGAGAACCTGTAGGAGAGTTCAATGCACTAGAAGGAGTTTGAATATTTTTTACATTGCATGATGTCGACGAAGTTTGAGAGTTTGCTGAAGGTGAATTTAAGTTTGATACAAAGCACCCGGATTTATGATTATTTTTATTATTAATAAAATTAGAACTTTGAAGTACTAATCCTGGTAAATTATGATAGACTGGGGACGTTGAACCATTATTTTGATTACATGATCTAGTTCCTGGACTTTGTCCATTTTGTATTGATGTAGGAATGATATTTGATGATTGACAAGACACTAAGTTACTTTTCTCATCGCTCTGATTAATTTTATTGTTTTCAAACTCTTTCCTCATAGTCTGCTGATCAGCTAGCGAATTTTTGACTCTCTGAATGTTTGTAGAATAATCGTTTGCAGGGTTCGAAGTGGCTATTAAAGTTTGCGTTGGTGCAACTGCATTTTTCGGTGATTGGAGAGCTGGTACGTCACAACATCGTGGTGGATTATGCCGAGATGATCGATAAGTGGTACTAGAAGTCGGTCTAAGATTTTCATTAAATTCAACTATTCCTTGACGATCTCCATAAGGCAACTCTTCTTCGTAACTATCAGTTCGTGCTAATGGTGATGATTCTGCTCCCATAAATTGATTGGTTATCTGAGATTTTGGTCGACTGCTGCTCACGCAAGAGTTTCTTGATGTTATTGGAGCTATTGGTGGAGCTGGTGTTTCAATTGTTTTCCTACAAGCTCCTTGTGACTCTTGAAAAGTTTCTTCTTCATCTTCAGAGAAAAGATTAGGGTTGAAGCTTGGATCGGGACCTGAAATATTATTTGTGTTTATTATTTGATAAAGTGTATTGTTTGAGGTTTAAGTCAAGTAAATTTTATAAGTCGGACACAAATAATAATTATCATTATTCATTCTGGTTTTGGTATTAATTTCAAACTTAGTTTTATTCGAGTTTATTTTTAGTTCAAAAAATTGCAAAAGTAATAAAAAGTGAGAATTAATAATACTTATTACTTTGCTTCAACTATTGCATTCACCCTATTCTTGTTCTAGCTTTGTTCTAACTTTGGGGATTATATTTCCGGGTTTCCCTTGATACTAATTCTGTTTAAATTTGTTGCATTTACCTGCTGGTAAATCATCTCTGAGCTCTGTCATAACTAGAGTCATTTGTCTTGGTTGAAGATGAAGAAGTGAAGTTCTATAGGTCACTTGTCCTAAATTAGCTGGTACTGAATCGGTTAAGCCATGAATTTTGAATTTCGTACCCCAAATATTTGAAGTAACTTCTACTAGTCTTGCGTGCTGAAAATTTATTCAAATTATTTGTACTCTGTTATTTTTTTATAACAATGTTTGATAAGTTCTATCAATATTTGAAAAATCTACATGGTTTTGATTAAGCTTTTTGACCTCGTAAAAGTTGAAAAATATATTAGGTAAATATTTATGCATAAATTAGACAACTCAATTATAAAGTAACTGGAAATGTGGAGTTTGTAATATTAAATTAATGTAATCTTTTAATCGAGTTATCAGACATAATTTTATAACGAGTAAATAAGTTAGTAATCTAATATCTGAATTACCTCTGGCAAGGTATCAATGTAAGTTAAATCATCAGACTCTTCATTAGGCTTATCATCTCTTTTTCTACGGTTTTTTCGTTTATTTCTTGGTGAGCCACACAATTCTGATGCATCTTTTTCCGTATCGGAGCCATCACTTAATGAAGGAAATGAGTATTCCGGAACCTGAAGCGTGTCTTGATTTTGTGGATCGAAAATTACAAATTCAGGTCGAATTTTACTGGTTCTTCTTCCTTTCAATAGTGGCACTAAACCGCCTAAATATTCTAGATACAATGTGTAAAATGGAGCAGGTTCTCCGGCATGTCTTAACATTGTGCAATGTAATCTTCCACCACCGGGTGGTGGTCTAGATACGAATCTTCTTAATTCTCGTGGTTCGGGTACACACGATCTACAATAAACCATTTAGTAATATGAATTATTTTTAAATAATGGCTCAATCTATTTAATAAAGATTTTTGCATAAATGATCTTAATAGTAAAATTGAACTTTTTTACCTTATTGTACTTGCAAAGAGAGCAGAGACTAAAGCTCTTAATCTAGGTGGAAGTGGCAGCTGCTGAACTCCTGATTCTCGCGTTAATGCCGCTCTTACAGCTAGTCTTGATAGTAATTGAAGAGATCCAACTCGTCTGCAAATTATTGAGATTCCATTAAAGAAGTAAAAAAAAAAAAAAAGAAATAAAATACAAGAAAAAATTAAAAAGTGAAGAATGAACTGGTTATTTCATGAAAAATAAAAATGAAGAATATTAATACCTAGAAACCCAAGCAGCATGAACACGTGCTCCAGTTGCAACAAATAACCGTCGGTCGTTGTGACCCCAAGTCAATGCTGAGACGGGACACTAAATAATCAATGAGTCATTAAATTATTAATTAAATAATGATATTTTTTATAAAAAAATAGCGATGAAAGTAAATAAAGATGATATTTAATAATGACCTGAGTATAAGGGATTGGAGTTGTATAAACGAGAGATCCACAGTCTGAATAGAATTTGAGCAAGTTGGAATATTCCTGAGTATTAATTTGGACGCCATCAGTTTCTTTAGTTCCCGCGATAGCAAGAAGTTTCTTAGAGTTGCTCCATTCAGCATAAAGTGGTGCTTTCAAGCCAGTTTTAATAGTTATTGGTGAAACATCATCAAACGAGTGTAACATCACAATATTTCCATCGTTAAGACAGACGGCTAACACATAAGTTTGCTCATCTACCAATTATAATTTTCTCATTAATATTTGTAGTACTTTTAATGGTTATTGTACTTTCTATATTCATGATCATCATTATTAAAAAGTTTTCATACCGGATTGTGTTGGATTCCCTGAAATATCATCATCACCTTCCTCCATTTTAAATTTTTCGGCACTCCAAGCCATTGACGTAATGCCAGCTGACAATTGCACCTCGGAAACCATCGCTCCGTGAACATCCATGACTATTAATTGACCCGCAGTGGTTCCGAAATAGACCTGCCAAAAATTTTACGAGTTTATTTTGGCGTGGAAGAATAAATAATTTTTTTTATTGTTAGATAAGCCAACCAATAAATAAATTCCCAAAAATGAATGAATCTGTAATTCAATTAATTTAAAATGAAATAAATTTTGTCATCCATTAAAATTTTTGGAGCAAAAAAATTGGAGCAGAGCTATCACATAATAGTAGCGGGCTAATTATTGATATTTTGAATTAAAATAATAACTTGTGGAGTGAGCCAGAATTTATATCAATAATTATGAATAAAATTTAATTATATGGCCATATTTCTTTTGAAAATTTCATTGTTTACTGAAATTGTTTTAATTAGGACAGATGTTATTATTCATTAATAATGATTGGTTATTAATTAATTTAGTCAAAATTAAGTAATTAATTATCTTTATTTTTTTTTTAACAATAAAAATCTTTTAGGAAAATTTTGCCCAATTCAAACAGTTATTATAAAAACAATCAAAATCATAATCCCATCATAGGATTTATTCCTAACAAGAAGAGACATAAACTCTGAAGAAAAAGCAAAATTTATCATATAAAAAAATTACACGTCAATCAAGAGTTGAGAGCTTTTGAACCTTCGGCTACTTTTGAATCATCAATTTTTCATTGTTACATAAAACTCAGAGTAGGATTTCTTTCTCTTCAATTTGAAATTTTAATTTCATTTCAGTGACATTGAAGTATAATGATAAAGCTCGATATAACTTAATAAAATATGTATAAATTTTTATAAATATAGAGGAAGTGAACAATAATCAACATAAATAAAGCAACTAATTTTTGAAAATATTATTTAAAAAAGTAAAACAATGATTTAATGAATAAAAATTGTCAGCAGAAAGGTAGAACAGCTTCTACATCGTTGATGGAAACATTTAAATGTTATTACTCTACTTAGGATAATATTTGATCAATATTCGCCCAAGACTATAACACTTCAGGCAGTTTGAAATAATAATATACTTTAATGTACAACAAAAAATACCTGTTGGTCATCAGGTGTCCAAATTCCGCATGTTATGGTGGCTTGATCATTCAACATTGATGACCAGTATCGTTGTCCTGCTACACTACCCACTAGCACAAATCCATCCTAGACAGAAAGTATATCATTAAAAAATAAAAGTAATCCATTACTCGTATTCCAATTAAATATAACATAGAATATATTCCAACTGAGAATGATCAATATCTGAAGTAAAGACACAATGGATAAATAAATAATAATTGAAAAAAAAGGAATAAAAAAAAATTTATAATATAATAATATCACTTTCAAAACTAGATTATAAAACCTAATGCCTACCTCTTGGCAAACATCTTTTCTTTTCTGCAATGTGTCAAGGCTATTCAGCTCAACTTTACACTGTATAGTTGCCAACACTGCATTAAGACTTTATTTCATGTATACATTACCAAATAACATTTTAGCATAACTTCCTAGGACTTACCCGATAACATATTAATGCCATTCGACCATCGTGAGACCAAGAAAAATGTGTTACTGGGGTGCTACGATCATTAATTAACTCGATACTCCATCTCCCTTCATACTTGATCCAGACAAAAATGACACCAGAGCTGTCGCATGATGCTAACTTCTGATAAGGTTCATTCCACTTGACCAGTATTACCTGAATTATACATTTTATTACAAATCATGATAAATATAATACTTAAATATTATGTAATAGAAATAGATTATTGGAATAGTGAATAAAATAAACAGAACTCTGCTATGGAAATATTCTGAAAACTATATGATGAATGTAATAGTTATGTAACTTTTGACTCTGTTAGATCTTGCTATTGAACTTACTGATTCGATAAATAAATGAATCGTACAAGATCACTAGCATTATCAGTATTTTAATTCATTTTCTGATTACATTAATCTATAGAATGTTACTAAAACTCAGTGCAATTGAACTTCAAGTTTTTGTCATGGAATTATAACTGATACCTTGATTAGACCAATTTGAAGATCTAATTAAGTTAATTAGTTCATTGATCAGTTAGTATTGAACTGATTGAGAAAAAACTTGGTTGAAATTTAGCTAGTTTGTTCTTAGAGAGCAGTGACTTCCACTAATGATTGTGATGGTTGCTGTACTTCTATGTCATTCAAAATAAGTATTATTTACTGAGTTTATGAGTGATAAACATCGAAGAAGAAGTCATTTGTAATTTAATTTAATGTCAGAGTGTTATTATTTTTTATTATTGATGTCTTTCAAATGTTGAGATACATGCTTATACACTGTTGGTTTTTTAATGAGGGGAATGACACCGAATCATTAGATACTGTAAAGCTATTTATAAGAAAAACTGGGACAAGACAAACCCCCAAGGATTTTATCGATTTATGAAATAACTGATTGTCGAATTTCATTGTGTATATTACTCATTTGTTCAGACTCATTAGCTATAATTGACTGAAATCAGTAGTTTTTTGTTTTAGTATTTTAACAAAAAATGAATGATACTTTTTTCATTATTCTAGCAAATAATTTGAAACAAAAATAACAAAAGATACAATGAGTTGTTAAAATATTCTAGAACTTGAGTAAGGTTTTTAAAAGTTGACATGTGGTGTCCTAAAATATTTAACTATCATCTAGCTTGTTTTATTTACTCTGAATTCATGAATTGTACCAATTTGTTTCATAAAAAAAATCAGGACAAAATAAGTCTTTGGGGCAAAATGACCCATTGCTAAAAAAATGTAAATAAAAAAATTCTTCTCCACTTTTTCATTGACAATAAATTCATTTTTTTTTTAGATTATGAGTATTAATTGGAAAAAAAATTTTTCTCCAATGTAATATGAGGGAATTCAGCAACTGGTTTCTCTGTAAATCAATAATATATTTGGAAGAGTCATTCTGACCTCATTAAAATTAGGTCTAGAAGAAATTTTATTGCATAATTATTTAAATGACAAAAAAAAACATATTCAGATTTTAAAATTTTCACATTAAACCGTCGGTGAAGAGTTAACTGAAGTAAAAAAAATTGCATTGATTCTCTTTGAAATCTCAAAAGATATGCTAATATTTGATTATGGTTATGAGGAATATTAAACACTATTTTCTGTATTTTAATTAACCCTTCAGTTATAAATATTCTTACTTGGAGGGGTTTCAAAGGTCAGTGAGTTCAATTGAACATTCAGAATTGTAGTGTTTAATAATAATTATTCTTCAGCTCATTGAATTAAATACTACTGAAATATTTGTCATTTAATGCTTGCTCAAACAGAGTCACTGAAGATCAACCATGCTAATAACACAATTCAGAGGAAAATTATCATATAAATATTTTGAAGCTCTTTTAAAAATTTTTAATAAATATTTTAATACTTTTCAATTTTATTTTAAATTTCATGGTTATACAACGAGAATAAGTCATTAAAAGAAAATTTAACTTCATACAACAAAGAATTTTATAATTAAATAGCTGAAATTCTAGCTTTTTATCTTGAATATTATTCAGTATAAGTCGTTGCCTCCTTTTTATTCATAGAAAAATTGTAATAATCGTCTTGTGATGACGTTCAAAAAAAAAATTAATTTTTTAAAATTATTATTCATTTTATATATAAAAAATTCCAAGATAAAAATGTATTATCTATTAAATATACATCTTAACGTTCTAAATCATTTTTTTAATCCTTTTATGGTGCAATTTTTTTCTCAACATAAAATATTTACTTGCTTCTTCATTTTTAATATCGTTGTTGTATTTATCGTAATTTTTTATATTTATTAGTTTATTTTTAACTCCCGGCAATTGTATTTATCTTTAATCATCTTTAGACATGTAGACTTGAATCGATAGCTTAGTGGTAAAGTGTCAGTCTACCACTCGAACCGATTGCAATAACTCTAGCAGGAAAGCACAAGAGGCCCATCACTGATCCAACACTGTGCTAGTCTTAGTCAACTATAGCTTAATGTTGGACCACAAATAAGTTAGTCTTTTTTTCTGCTAGGATAAGAATAGAAATTTTCTAAAGAATCATTAAACCATTATTTTCAGTTTATGACAATTTTTTAGTAGAAAATGTTCATGCTCAGACATAAATAATTTTTTTATATCAATTAATGAAACTGCAGTAATTTCTACATCAATGCTTATGTTACATACAATGTAATTAATAGAAATCGATAGGAAGTATAAAAAAAAACAATTGAACCCAATTAGATTTCAATGACAATTTTGCACTTACCATCGTTTTCTGTCAGTTATTTTTTTCCAAGGTAATTTATTTTGTTCTGAAGTACATAAAAATTAACAATAAAATAATGAAATAATGAACGTCACTAACAAAAGAATTAAGCGCTTCTGTCAAGTGTAAAAAAAACTTTTAGCTGACCTAAAATGAATATAAAGCAAAAAATCGATGTTATATAAATCCTCAGGTTAGATATAGTCATTGATAAATACAAGACATCCTAATATATGTATCAGACTAAATAGTTGTGATATCGATCCACTATCAAGAGCACCAGAAGCTTAGTCAAGCATGTTTCACATAATAGTATACAGTAAAAAATATTCTGTTGATGTAATAAATCGAAAGCCTATCTTAACAGCAATGCAACTGCACCAGAAAGAGACTATTTGATAACAGGAAAAAGAAGATAATATTTTTAAAAAGTTCTTTACAATAATTATTACGACTAACCAAGAAGTTATATGTCTATTACAAGATTCCAATCTATCCCATTTAATTATTATTATTAGCAGTTTTTCATTAAACTTTACTCAGTATATTCTAATTATTTTTTTATACATATTCATCCCCAACTATCTTTTAATAACATTCTTATTACTGACAACTTTTTAATTTCGTGATGGTTTTTAAAAAACTTTTCACAAGTAGGATTGAGAACTTTGAATATACAATTAATATTAAGTTTGAAAAAATACATAAAACTCTAATGATAATAAAAAAAAAATAGTAATAAAATAGGCTTTAAATTCCAATGAAAAAGTCAGTCGCGCTTTTTGACTTTAATTCAATCGACGATGCATATGTAACAAAATTCAAATAATTTTGAGAAAATCCAGCATCAAAAGCTTTTCGAGCTGTTGAGCTGTGAAAATGACTTATAAACCCTCGATTTGCGTGTTGAATCGACCTCGACAGATTTTTTCAAATTATATATATATATAATCCATATGCATATACTAGTTATATAGATAAAATTGAATACATACATTCTGTACATAAATACTAGGATTAAAAAACTAAAAGATCACTACACAAAACAAAAAATGCTATCGATTCTCATTCAGTTATATTTCCAATAAAAATTTTCACGTTTTAATGAATCCGGAAGCGTTCAAAAGCTCGTTTCTGGTATTTCAAGAGTTATTTTTCAAAAATTTTTCTCAATCTCAGTTATTTCACAGTAATTTAAAAAACGTAAAGAAAAAAGAAATCCTCCAAAACGTTGTTTTTTTCACTTTAATACACGTTTTATTTTATTTTTTTTTCCAACAACTTCCAACCGAGCTGTAAGTTCTAAGAGCAGAGAACTCACTTTTGACTTTGAGCTTTCTAAGATATAACTTCAATAACTTCTAAAGCAGCTGTGAAATAGCAAGAAAATGGAAGTAATTTAAAAATGGAAATAATAGTTTAGATGCATTTATTTAAAATTAATTTTTTATAATAAAATAAATAACTAATAATAATGATAATAAATATTGAAATATTAAATAAATATAAATTAATAGAAAATATTTAATATCGGTCTTTAAACTCTAATAATAACTCACGTACAGTTGGTCGATAATTATGTATAAATGCATAATTAATCTTCAATAATCACGTCAAAATTTGAATCTAAAATAGTTAAATGGGGTGTGTAGCTCACACGCAACAATAATAATTTACATTTTTATTGTTTTCACTTAACTAACATCATTTATACACTGTGATTTACATTATTAATGGAGCTTTTAATTTAATTCTTCATCATTGTTTATATTAATGAAAATTTTTAGAAATTTTTTTTAAACAGTTCAAATGATAAAAGAATTACGAGTATATCTATTTTTTTATAGAGCAAAAAATAGACTCTTAAGAATTGAATATGAACTTGATGTTTAATTTTTCTGGAGTAAATTAAAAAATTAAATAGTCCTGTTTACATATATCATGTGCTTTCAGCTTTGCTTTCAACTTTTTCTCTATTTCCAAAGATATAATAGAAACAGGAAGTTCAAGTTTGACTAAAGTACGGAAAATACATAATGCATAAAGTGTGCACACACCAACCAGTAACATGAAGATGAGGAAGAAAAATATAAAGCGTTATGAATACAGACTTATTCTATTGTTATAAAAAGAGAATTATAGGGGGATGGTATATTGTACGCATCATACACTTTTGAAATAACTTGAGTACATAAATTATCATATGAGTACTTAAGAATGTTTAATATAAAATATACGTATCATCCAACGCATCATGCGTTAAAATAATTAATGATGTTTTTTTTATCAAAAACAGAGAGCTAAAATTATATGCACTCTCAGTAGGAAACTCTTTGTAGTGGTTGGAGAGTTTTTTATGTTATATAAAATACTCAAGAAAATCAGTTTTTTACAGTTATTTTTGTAGAAATGTAATTTTTTAAAATGATTTTTTCTACTTATTTTGTTTTATCGCAATAATGATAATAATAATAAACATATCTTGATAACAACACATTAGAAATAGAGATACGGATTACGCAATTGCAGGGAATTGATGAGAAGAGAAACAAACAAAATAAGCTGAGGATTAACTCCCTACGAACAATTGTTTACGAGGTATTAATTCTTAAAGTTAAATCTGTCCACTGACCTTCAATAATCGATTTATAAATAAATAGCTTTCTTTCGAAAACTTTTAATTCAAAAATATTTTTCATTATATTCAAAAAAATTCATAAAGATACAAATGGAAAAAATAAAATAGAAAAATTCTTCGATAAAAATGTAAGATCGGCATTATTTGTAGAGAGTATTTCCAACTTTTCAATGATTTCTAGTTTATTATTATGCGATGTTTTTTCCGGAATTATTAGAGTAAAAATTTCCTAAAGACATTATCCTCCAACAACCAGTAACTCTAGGTAAAAGAATCTTATGATGGCTTTTAAAATATATTTCAAAGTTTATTTTTTTTTTTTTAAATAAAACACAAATTTTTAAAAATAATATTTACTTGCTTTGAAGTTATTTAAAACCACAAAATAAATTGAAACAACTCTATTTATTCTTCTTTTTTTACAAGTTTCAATGCAGTAAAAAAGCTCAAAATAATCATTTGAATGAAAAGCTTTGAGCTGCGGAAAATAAGCTTCCGATTGTACCCTCATTCATGTAAATACGCCAATTTTTTGCTGAAATAAATCATCTTAAATTCGGTGTCAGTTTAAAATGAGAATTTTTGCTTTTAAATTTTTTCTTTTAATTGATGCCGAATCCTTATTTGAATACAGTGGACGCTTTAAACTTAAACGAAACTTTAAATTCAACATCAATGAGTTATGATGCACAGACTAAAAATTAAAATACTTCTAGACAAATATCTACATTTTATAATACAATCATAATGACGCCATTAACCGTCGCGTCTTTTCACTCGAATGAACACGACAAGAGTCTCATTTGTTTTTTCCCCCTTTTTCATTTTTTTTGTGTTTTTTTTTATGTTACTCATTCTCTTTTCTTTTACATTTACATCTCACCTCTCTCAGCTCGACAGCTTCCTAATTGGCGCGAGTTCCCGAACTTGCAGAACAATCAATGTTACCAAGTGTGTATGTGAGAGATGCATGCATCGTAAGAGTAAATTTATGTACACACATGTATTTTATCATGAAACTTTTTTTTCATTTGATCAAATACATAAATTAACTTTGATTGAAATATTTTTTATAACTAAAAATCAGAAAATGATGTGAGAAATATCTTTTAATAAAGCCGATCAAATAGAATTATTCAATTCACGATTATTAACAGTATCAAAGTGATTTTATGATGGGAAATATAAAATTAATATGAAGATTAACTTTTAGATAGACTGCGTGGGCGACCCTTTAGATGATGTTTTCTATGATTAAAGCATAAAAAAATATTTTAACGCTCGTTATTTTTTACTCGAAGGAATAAATCGATACGGATGTTGGGGTAAGCAAAAATTGAAGAAAGTTGAGAGTGAAATGATAAGAATTTATTTTTATTCATTCGCTGAGAGAAGAGTTTTGTTTTAACGAGAAATATATTTTATTTCAATAGTCAAGTAATAAAGGTACATTTTTAGTTCCAATTATTTATTGTTGGTTTTTTAAATAAAATATTTTAATATGGATTTGATTATTTTTTATTTAGTTTATTAATTGAATGCAATAAAGAATTTTTTATGTTTCAGCCACTAAGTGACAAAACCTTGACCAGCTGTCCGCCTTCTACTCCAATGTAATAGATTCAATGCCGGAAGAACCTAGATTGAACTACCACGGCAATTAGATTTCATGTTGAACAACTAAACAGGGTTGACTGGTGGAGACTAATAATATTCTTGAAAAAAAAATAAACATCGTTAACAAAGTTTAAAATTATTCGAAAAAACTATCAATGTTGTTATGAATAATAATATTTGTTGTGATAAAACTTCAAGTAACTAGTAATTAATTTTATTGTTAAACTTTTTTAATATAAAATTTTATGTAAACACTCTAGTGCAAATCAATTGTTTCGTCGACATGAAATGAGAGTGTCGACAGCGAATAACTTTGTTTTTAGGTAGGCAGTGAATTAACTCAATGAAAAAGTAATGACATTATTTATTGTATCTATGTCTGTTGAAAAAAATGAGTTATAGCCGACACTTGAATCTAGTTAGAAATTTCTACTGTAAAATTCGATTCAATTTATTTAAACTAGAAACTAAAAAATGATTTAATGCTGAATTGTCTAGGGGCGCAATGTGGGGATGAAATTAATTTTTTCCCCTAAAGTAGATCCTCACACGAAGAGATTATTTTAAAAAAAATGCCTGATATATCACGAAAGGAAAAATAAAGCTCCAAGATAAAGTTGAAAGAATTCCTACAAATTACTGATAATTAATATTGCTATATTAACGCTTGATATTAATAATATTAACAGGGAAGCGATTTGTTTAAAATAATATTTTCACGTTCATCTTAAAATTTCACGTTCTCCCCTTACTTATAAGTCATGTCAATAATTTTTCCTAACAGGTTTTTTCCATGTTTCATTATTTCTCAAATATGTTAACTCCATGTAGAAAAACTCCTAAATTTGTTTCGTTCTTTCTAATTTAGACGATAAATGTCAGAAGTAAATCTATTTTGAACTAGACTAATCTTTAACTATTATTCTAGAGACTACTTTCTAGAAATTTATTTGTAATAAAAAAACAAATAGAATTCAATAGGATTATACACTATTTTTCCCCATAAATATTATTTTATATTTTTTTATCTTCAACCTCTACAAACTCAAGTATCTATTAATTAATTTACTTACTACAATTGTTAAAAAGGTTGTTAGCAAAAACAATGTAATGTTAAAAAATGCATTCTTTAGAAAAAATAATTAATAATAATTGTAGAATAGTTATTTATTTAATTAAAGTTATGAAAATGGTCACTTATCTATGCATACAAGCACTCTTATTTATTACTCACTTCACTCTGATGTCCGCGAAGGTTGTAATTAGCTCGAAGTGGAAGTTCAGTTGCTCTCGTCCGACAGTGAGAAGTAGTAAAGGTGACTCCAACCAGACCTCGAGCGTTTCCAGTTGCTAGCCACCCTTCTTGGTAATAATTTGTACGATTCAGCTTCCATCCCTCGTCCTAAATATAGAAATATATTATCTACATGTAAAACTACTAATTGTTTAACTGAGATTTTTATTTATTTCTTTATCAGTAGGAAACAAGTTCAACAGAATGCGCTGATTTTAATTTGTTATCAAGAATTTAAAAAATCCTTTTCATTGGAATTTTTAATCTAAAAACTTCTATAATTATATAATTAAGATTTTATGATATTAAAAAATATGAATGGTATTTTTTATATTCTAAATTTTTTATAAATCAATTTTTAACACTCTAAAGCGTATTGATTAAAAAGCAATGGAAGAATTCATAAATAAATAATAAATTTTATCAATTGTATCATCAGTATAAATTGTATAAAATTAACTTATGTGCAATATTTATTATTATATTTCGAGTTAAAACATGACTGTTGTTATTCAGCATAAATAATATTCAATATTAAAAATGATTTTTAATACTCTGGTTTTATGTAGGATTAATTAATACTTTATAAAGTGTGTAATTAAAGCATATATTATTCAAGATTTTAGTAGTATTTTTCATTAAATAATATTAATATCATAAGAATTTTTTGTTCAGCATGACAAGCTATTACTTTGCTACCTACACCTACGTGAAAATCCGTGTCCTGTAATTTTCTTATAACAGCAAAATAGCTTGTGAGCTCTAGATACCAACAAGTATCACCAATGTATTCTTAATACTTCTAGAAAATTAATAATATATTTCTTCTTATCAAACGAAGAAATTGATAGATATTTTGAAGTGAAAATATCATTGATGAAATATAGAGATGTTTTCAAGAATACGAAGCAGATTGGGGAGATGCCAGAGGCTTCTATAGAATAATTGTCAACAACGGTTTTGGCTGGCGAATAAGTATCCTCTTCTGAAGAAAAGGTGCAACTGAGTGGTCTTGAAAAATCACTGATAGAATGAATCTAAGAATCTATCAAACTTGCCAGACAAAAGTTAATCAACTGTAGTTGAGTCTAGACGATTTCGAAGATAGTATAGATATATGTGTAGGTTTTTAAGCAAAGAAAAGCTTTTAATGCTAAAACGTCTGCTAAAATTTTAAACGAGGAAAAAGAATAAAAATAAAATTGTTCCGTTCAAGTGCGAAATTTGGACGACGTTTGAATTTGAAATCACCAGAAATTGAACGCAGAACTTTCTCTCTATACGTTCAGGTGTTCTTTCTAACTGACCTCTCGTCAATTATATATTTGTCATCATTTAACTCGTGACAGGGTAGTTATTAACGAGTTTAAACATTACTAAAATAAACTGTCAGATTTTTACAAGCCATGATCGATTATCTTGCACGGAATAAAAAGTGCACTTTATTTTAGCATTCATGGAAGGGTTGTGCTAGAAAGTTATTTCTAGAATGTAAAAAATAATTATATCAAGTGATGAAATGTATTTACATATCGATTGAAAGATACTCTTAAGAAGTCAGAAAAAAGTGATAAAAATTGATGTATTTAGTTTTTAAATGTAAAGAAATTGATATAAATGATTTTTTATTCACTTGGAAGAAAATCCATTTACGAATGACGCTTCATTGAAACCTCGATAAAAATAGAAGGAAGAAACTTGATATAAAATGTTAGAACAATTAATGAGAGGGTAAAAAACAGGTCCGATATCAAGTGCTATCTAATGGAAGGATAAACAGAAGTTGTCCAGCATATTTATTTGTGTTCTCAAAAACTATTGAGTTTCGTTAAATTAGGTTTGCAACGATGATCTAAACTATAGACTAGACGAAGCCATACAACATCGATTTCTTATTCTTCTATTTTTACCTCTTTTTTTACCATTTATTTATCATAAATTATTCATTGCAAAATATAGAAAAAGCCAAATGATTTCCAATGCACTTTATAGATCTCTCTGACGTGATATAAAATATATTAACGAAATTGAAAACTGTTCATAAAAATACCAATAAAATTGATTCAGTATAAAAAAAGATATATTTACAATAAAAGAAAATTAATATGAATCTAAACGAGTCTCTCTTTGTTCCTTTAAATATTTTCAAAATAAAAATCATTTCGTTTTAATATTTAAAAAAAATTTTGCTACAAAATTGCAAAAATAAAATAAACTGTAATATTGTCTACATTTTTTAACAAGATTTATGCTACAATGAATTAAACATAATTCCTTCAAAGTTCAAGAATAAAATCCTGCAACGTTCATAAGAGAAAATGATATTTTATAGTTTGTATAAAAATAGCTATATAATAGATATAATGTTTCTGTCAAATACAGAGCATAAACGTATTATCGACAAAAGGATATCCGCAGGTTGGATGATTAACTGAGTAGTTTAATCTACATTTACAGGTATATTAACGTAGAGATTCGATTTGAATTGCCAGTGGGCAAATGTAGAAGGGTTCGTGAGGTCTAACGACGATTTGAGTTTCGATTCTTGTATGTTGAAGCTTGTATCCAAAATGCACGCTTCTACTTGGCTACCCCAAACTACCCCTCTCGGCAACGCCCGAATGACGGTAAATTAGTTTGGATATAGATCGAATTGACGTTGTTCTCTGGTTAGCATGTAAGCATTCGAAAATCGAGGGTCCAAGAGATAAAAAAAAAGCATTTAACTACAGGAAATTATAAAATCCTATTAACACTAAAATGTTTTATTGTCTTCATACTCCTACTAATATTTAAAAATTGCTGCTGTTAGTTTTGCATACGTCTATATCTATTTTAATCAGATGATCGATTTTTTAATAACCGTAATTCAGTACTGTGTACTTTTGATTGTAAGGTCAAATTCAAAAACTATTTTTTTGTTTGAAGTTTACATCAATTAATTATTAGTAATAACTGAAAAAAATATTCTGAATCTCCAATTGAATTTACCTTGATATTTAATAGAAATAAACATTAAGCTATTTTTTTTTAATTGGAGAATTAAATAATCGAACTTTAAATTTTAAAATGCATGATAATACAATGGTATTGCTTTAATAAGATTATGCTAAATCTGTACGTGATTTTTCCAACATCACGTTAATTAACGCTAATTGGCACTTATTACTATCCTTATCATGACTATTCATGCTGATTATATTAGACACATTGAATATATGATAATAACACTGTAAAATAGCCATAAAATAATGCATTAACACTGATAAACATGAAATATTGGAGAAAAAAGATAATTAACCTCTGGTAACTCATCTGGAACTTTTCCCATCCAGCTCAGCGACAAAATATTGCAATCGCATTTAGCATTAGTATTTTTCTCAAAGTGCAAATGCATATCTACGATGTTTTATTTTAATAGTCCAACTCATTGAATGAGAGAAATAGTAATAATAGATGCATTGAATCAGTGAGTTCAAAATTTAGTTCATAAAAAAATAGTTATAATAGAAATGTATGAAAAATTGAGATTAAAGTTCATCATTAAAATGGTATCAATTCCATCAGATATGATAAGGATATTCTTTGTATTGAATTTCCTTGAAAATTTGTAGTTATTTATAATAACTTGTATCAGTCAACATCTACTTTCAATACTGAAAGCTCACACGTTTTATTTTACAATGTTTTATTTTTGTTTACTGTCACCATTTTGTTTTTATCTTTGTCATCAAATTATTTAAACAATTCGACAACATTAAATTAATAATCACCGCACAGTATCATATCACAAGCACTATCTTTATAGTAAAGAAAGATTATATAAAGAGCTTTTGACGTAGTTTAATGTACTACTGAAAGCTTTTAGCACACAGGACTGCTAGATTGTGCTGGACTATCCCAGATCTACTCAGCACTGCTAACACGAGACTGCACCCTTAACATAAGCGCCAACCCTTAGTAATATCTAGAACTTATTGATTATGGGCTTCCTATTTCACCCTTGTTTTTCAGTTTTTTATGACATCTGGTGGAATGTTAATATAGTTAATATCACAATCAACAGCTGTTATCAGATATTATCATTCCAGTCAATTTTATCAGAGGAGAGGTATGGATCCTTAGCAAAGAGTGTAGTGGAAGTTAGAGAAAAGAGACTGCTACCTGAACAACAGTGGGATAGCAGAGAAGAGAGAACAGTATAGAAGTCCGATGCTGTGTTAAAAATCCGGACGAAGTTTCAGTCAACATGTCGGTATTTTGGGTCAACATGTCGGTAATCTAAGATCACAACATAAAAGTTTCTGTAAACCCATCGAACGATGGCGCTGCAACGGTTTATTCTAGCCACGCCCCTTAATCTAAGAGAGAAAAGAGATAAGATTTGTGTTCTCTTTTACTCTCATTATAAGAATCCTAAGCCAGTTTATTTTCAAGCACCAATTTTTAAATGGTAAAGGTCCGGCTCTGTTCGCAACATACATAGAAGCTATAAAACCAATTCGATGTTTTTGTAACAGCTCAGAGGTAACATGCTCGACCATATTTTTAGGACAAATTTCATATGCAATCACGCTAAAGAAAAAAAAATAATTTACGAACGAAGCCATTTTTTTATAGCAAATAACGATGTTTATGAGAAAAAAAAATTTAATTATGCATGATGATAATGAGCCAAAGGCTTCGATAATGATATTTATAATAATATTAATAAGATATTTTTAAAAAAATAATTTTTAAGATAAAACAACATTCCTTTAAAGAATACATATTAGGACCGCTCAAAAGGCCTGGAACTTGATACCTGAAGAGAGCTTTTTTGAAAAAAATTTTCTTAAGCAATAAAACCACTATTATCCCGAAAGCCTAAATCTCATAAACAATAGGGACTATTCAAAGTCCTATCCATCACATAAGATAAAAATAAGACGAATAACAAAATAATCTTTCCTCTCAGTTCCGTGGAACAAGCCCAACCGCACGTAAGACTTTAAACATGATTTTATCTTTACGTAGGTAGCTAAGGGGTTAAATCTCAGTTTGTGAATTTTTTCGTGACTAGTACGAATCTCACCAGTTACTTTTTTTTTATTCATTACTTAAATAATACTTATTTGATTTTTTGTTTTGTGACAACACTAGTGCCCTTTTTTTATCTAGGTAATGGACAGAGTAACCCCCGATCATCAAAATCCAAGAATTTTGTCTTATAACCTAAAAAAATGCTAAAAATCGTATTTATGCTTGGATCGTAAAATTAGGAATGTCATTAGCAAGAGGGGGATGAGACGGGTTCCAAACACTGGCTGTCGGTTGTATTTGGTTAATAATATCACGAGATATTCATGAAAATCTGCAAAACATAAAAATATGCATAACTTCTATATTAATGATGCTACGGGGTTGATCGAGGGCTCATATGAAAGACCTCGACCTAAGTAACAAATTGGATTCCCCCTATAGGATATCCCCGTCAAAAATGCCGTATCTCGCTTAGTTTTCGAGTTATGAGCGTTTAAAAGTTTTTCAATGCTCGACTGCCGCATAGCTTAGTTTTTCGCCCATAACTCACGATCTATAGAAGGTACATGGATCACATGCATATCAATAGATTCCTGAGAGCAAGAGCTTTCCAATGCACTAGTCAAAGTTATGATTCGAGTATAATTTATGCTAAAATTGTAGCCATTTCCGGTTCCACCTTCATTTTCGTCTTTACGAGTTTTAGAACGAATTGATATTAAAGGTCGAATTTCAGAGCACCAGAACAGACAGAGTAACCCACAATCATCAAAATCCAAGAATTTTGTCTTATAACCTAAAAAAATGCTAAAAATCGTATTTATGCTTGGATCGTAAAATTAGGAATGTCATTAGCAAGAGGGGGATGAGACGGGTTCCAAACACTGGCTGTCGGTTGTATTTGGTTAATAATATCACGAGATATTCATGAAAATCTGCAAAACATAAAAATATGCATAACTTCTATATTAATGATGCTACGGGGTTGATCGAGGGCTCATATGAAAGACCTCCACCTAAGGAAAAAATTGGATTCTCCGGTACGGTTTTACCGTCCTTTAAAAGTTACGGAATAGATCTTTCTGTATTGTTGACCTCATAACACATTCCAAGATGTCAATACACGTGGTTAAATTGTGCAGTTTGAGAAAATTTTTCTTTTAGATTTTCTATATGAACCCTTAATCAACCTTGTAGCATTATTAGCATAGAAGTTATGCATGTTTTCATGTACTACAGTTTTTCAAACATATCTCGAGATTTTTCTGTCTAACCAAAGTCAGTAGCAACTATTTTGGAATCATCTCATCAAGATCTTCCTAACAACATCTACGATTTTGTGATCCACGCATAAACATGATTACATGCTTTGTTTAAGGTTAGAAAAAAAAGTCCTCCGATTTTAATGATTGAAGACTCATTTGTACGTTTTGATGCTTGGAAATGCGGCAGTTGGCTATTCTTTACGAAAATTCATTCTAACCCTCTGAATAACAGACACGACATTGGCCTGCAATAATTCTTGAATGGTTGGTCCGAAAATACTTTCCAGGGACGTTTAGAAAACTTCAGAATCTAACCTAAACATACAACTCCATAAAAAAGGTTTTAAAACATCCCTTTACCTTAAAAATTGCCAAAATAGAAAAAAAGTCGCACTTTTTCTGAGAGTTTGCTAAGTATTTCGGCTATTTTAGGGGTGAAGAAATTTTTTTAAACATTTCATACAGGTATGTATCTTTAGCCTAGATTTTGAAGATTTTAAATAATCCTCAACAATTACAATTGGACAATTTTTTTATGAGTTATGGAGGTCAAAAGCGAAGGGTGGATGATTTTTCGACCCTTGCTCTGACTTTGGACCTTCATAACTCTTGTACAAGTTATCTGATAATAATTGTAAGGAAGTATTTTGAAACTTTAGAATCCAAGCTACAGATATATGTTTATTAACAACGTTTAAAACATTTTTGTTACCTTTAAAATTATTTCAAAAGAATCAATAATGCAACTTTCTGTTTGTATCCTTTTGTATTTTTAAAATATCTGGCTCTTTTCAAGAGGGAAATCTTCAGCTGTGCCCTCTTGTGTCTGTTCTTGGTTATCATATCAGTTTTTGAATATTCATAGCAATGAGTTTCTTCTATACATTAGAATTCTGTGTAACGTACACATAAAATTTGCGATTTCTAGTTCTTCAATCTTTATTAACAATATCTATTGTACACGATGGAACTGATTAAAAAGTTGGGATTTCAGAATGCTTTGTTGGTCTTATAACAAATATAATAATTACACAAAATCTACATACAATCTAAAAACTATTTCGACGAAGATCTAATCAAATGAGTGCAATTACAAATAATAAACAGAATTTAAATCCTCGTAAGTGTCAAATTAAATGAGATATATTTATCCGTGATACGTCATTTCATCAATAAATTAAATTACTTTAATTATTATGATGTTTCTATATAGAATTATAAAATTTTCCGTTAGAATAATTATTAATCAATGTAATTTTTTTTTCTAGAATTCTTACAATTTTTTTTAAGATAACATTCATCAATGTAATAAATTTCGTTTGACTGATGCAATGAAAAGTTTATCAGGACAATTCCGAAAAACGACATGGGATCCAATTCTTATAATTTCCCAAATAGTTGCAATACAATCTGTAATGTACTTTTTTCTTGGAATATGGATTTGGATTATTACTTTTATATTGGATGATACTAGATCATTAGATTATGCATTTGAATATAAAGAAATTCATGTACGAGACTTTGGAGGAAAATTAGTGATATTTATTTTTATTCTTAATTCAATAGTTGGAGCACTTGCTCTATGGTGGTTAGTGCAGCGAACAAAACAATGCTTAGATTTTGCTTGTACAGCGCATTTAATACATTTAATTTGTTGCTGGATGTATAACTCCAACTTTCCAACAACATTTAGTTGGTGGTGCTTAAATATTGTGTCAACAACAATTATGTGTGTATGTGGTGAATTTTTATGTATGAAAACTGAAATTAAAGCCATACCTTTAACTGTAAATAGTCAGAAAACAGCCTTATAGTTTTAATGTCAGTTCTTCAAAATGGCTAATTCATTAATATAATATAATTTATTGAAAACTGTGTAATTGAGAGTTTAATAAATTTTTGCTATATTAAATAAAAGAAAATAATTTTATACAAATATGATTTCGATATTTACATAGATGACTATTTATTATTTAAACTACTCTATAAGTATTTGCCAGATTAGTGATGATGATCTTCTTTGTAGAAACGTAGACCACAGTATCCACAAATATGATTACCAGGTTTATCCTAGATTTATAAAAATAATAGTTTATCAAAGCTGACTTTCAAACGATTTATCACAAGAAAACTACTGTTTAGTTTTTTTAGAAAAATTAAAAAATACATTACCAAGTTTATGTAAACTTTTGGATGTCCAAGTGGTCCACCACCACCATTGCAAGACACAATACGATCAGGTCTTGGCTCAGGTGGTACTTCATCTATTAAATTAATGGCCCAACGTTCATTAACTTCTTTAGGTCTATCAACAAAACGAGCAAGTCTTTTGTCTTCGGGATCAAATTTCTGTAATAAATACATATTCATTTTCAATATTCATTCTCTTATTGTTAAACTTTTAAGACATTCCTAACATAATTACAGAAATGGTATCTATAAAAATACAATTATGTACATGTTTTATCTTTATTAACTGAATGTTAATATAACCTCTAATTTAAAAATGATTAAAAATTGTATTATTCATAATAAGGTAATTACTTGTCCTGTATGTGTGATAACATCAACAGGTTCCCAAGAAGCATTTCTCCGAGAAATTATCATAGGATACAAAAGTTTCGAGCCACATTGTGGATTTAAATTCCTCAATAAACAACGAGCTGGAGTAGTTGCCATTTTGCTAAATTTTTCACTCTTAAACAGAGAATAATGCCTAACGTAGAAGCCCAAAGTCTAATATGTATCTACAGAGAATTAATTTAGTACATGAGCCAGCTATGTGTGGCGCTATGTGTCTTTTTCTCGATAAAATTACTCCAAATTTTTCCAGGTCTATGGTGAAACAAGGGAATTTAACCATCAGCTGACAAAGATCACTCCAAATAGTGGAATTGAACTGTAATGGTTGATCAGTAGCGAACTGTCAGGTTGTTAAGTCCTGCTTGTTTTTAACTACATCCTTAATCTGTTTATTTATTTTTATCTAAACGGATGGGTCGTATTTTGAAGGTTAAAATTTCTTAAGACGTTCGAACACTATGTAGAGTGATACAATAACACTAAAAGGTTTAAAAAGAGTGAATGCCTGGAGTGCAGTGAGTCCAATATTTATTGAAGTGGATATTCTGGAAGAAAAGGTGAATCATGTATTATAACCGGAGGCGTACAAATAACTTCACGTATGTGAGTTCATGCGTTAAATATATGATATTCATCCTCAATTTCATATTTTGGGTAAGATCAGTTTCTATTTGTTGTTATCTGTAAACGTATACTTGTTTACATTCTATAATGGAGGTGTTGTTTGCAGCTTTTTGGAGGATTGTTGATTGGCGTAGGTCTATATGCCTTTTATGACAAATGGCAAACTACTGGATCAGTGAGAGTTGAAAATGTCTACGATGTGGTTTTAAATATTTCTCTTGTGATGGCCATAGCTGGAGGAGTAGTTTTTATTGTTAGTTTTGCTGGCTGTGTTGGTGCATTAAGGGAGAACACGTGTCTACTCAAATTTGTAAGCATTGTATTATACTTTAATATCCCCAACCGTAATATAAATACTTCATTTATCAGATGATCGTTTCATTATGGTCATAATTCAATGAAATAGTAGTTTTATTACATTGTTAAGACACAATAATCGTTTATTTTATCTTACCATGAGTTTTTTTAAATTAAACAACAAAAACTTGTAGATTAAAAAAAGTAAATATATCATTATTATCAGATTAGGTTTTATATTGACATATTCAATATTTACATTGTCAGTGAAGAATAATGAATCCAGCTCATTTTTCACATTATGTAGATTTTTACGTACTTTATTTTACATATTTTGAACTTCCGCCTCATTTATTCAAATTGAATACATTACAGCCTTGAATATCAATAAAATAATCATTGTCAGGTCACATTTATTTTATTAAATAAGAGACAAGTACAATAGTTACGTCCATTTAAATGATCTGTTAACGAAAATAGATGTTAAATTTATATGTGAGTAAAGCAAATGACAAGCATTGAATATTTTATGATATCAAGTTTTAATATGCAGCTAATGAACTAAAATCGATTGCAATGTATTTCTGTTCTTTGCTTCATTAAAATAAAATAAAAAATTTCTATTTTAACGAAATATTCCAACTCATAATAATTTATCGATCCTTTCATTTCATTATGTATCTTTCGTTCGCTTTGTTTACGTTTTAACGACGTTTTTTAAACGTGTATCTTACGTCCAAAGATTCAATAAATCTCGAAAGTTTGTCATCTATAGAACATAAAAATCAATATTCATGTTTAAACATAATTTATGATTGAGTAACATGATATCATATCAACTAAATAGTTGGAAATATTTATCATCTATATCAGTTTAGTGAACCAAATTTTTTATATACCAACCAATATATTTATATTTAATCAAGACACTCAACCTAGAAACAACTCATACATAAACTAATATTATTAAAAATAATTGATTTTCAGTATTCATGGTGTCTCCTAGCATTTTTCTTATTGGAAATGGGTGTTGCAATCATCGGATTTGTATTTCCTCATACTCTTCAGTCTTTACTTGAAGAATCATTTACCGATAAAATCATTCAAACGTATAGAGAAGATCCAGATTTGCAAAATTTTATTGATTTTGGTCAACAAGAGGTAATCAATAAGTCTTTAACATTTTTACGACATTATTATGCAATATCAAATATTAAAGCTTCATTAATTTTTTTCTTTTAGTTTAAATGTTGTGGTCTTAGTCAAGAAGGATACCTGGATTGGCAAAAAAATGAATACTTCAACTGTTCAAGTCCTGGACGAGAAAGCTGTGGTGTACCCTTTTCATGCTGCATCAATACTACAGATATTTCAAGTGGTTTGGTAAATATCATGTGTGGTTATCAAATCCAAACACTACCATCATCAGAAGCAAGTAAGAGAATTTGGATCAGTGGATGCATAGAAATCGTTCGTACTTGGGCAGAACGCAATCTTTATACAATTGCTGGTATCGCCTTGGGAATAGCTTTAAGTCAACTATTTGTAATCTATCTTGCCAAAACTTTGGAAGGCCAGATCGAGATGCAAAGAGCTCGTTGGCGATCCTGAGGCTGACCCCAAGCCACCTTTCGCTATATAATGGATTCTTCCACCAGTAGACAGGTGGCCGGTGGTCGTACAAATTATCAAGAATCTGAAAGTCGTGCAAATGCGCGTATGGCAATGCTCGTCTTACTTGCGACATCTCTGTACGTATTGTGCATAATGTCGGTGGTCAGACTTGCTCTCTATTTCAAAAGTTATTTTTACAAGTATCTTAATCACAGCTAAATTGTGATGTTATCATTAACCTAATGTCAATGTACACTGTAAGATTATCTAATACGGTACATGTCTGAATTTTATGTAACTCATTCATTAGATTAATGTTTTGTCTTCTAATTGATATTTTTATCCTTAATGTAATTTACAAAGAGATTTATGGAGAAGTTTCAAATGTTTTTTGATGTTTTTTAAAAGGTATTCTATAGGGATTTTATTAGGTGAAAAGTTTTAACTTGTCTTTATAATGATAAATGTTTTGATTGTCATTTTCAAATATGTCTTTGAAAATGTCATAATTTGAATCATGACATGTATGTTTAACGTACAATTTTACTGCCATCAATTGAATTATGGTTGCTTATGATAAATTAATGTAAAATGATTCTTTCTATTGTAGTTTATAGGGAGAACAGCACACATGAAAAATGTAAAAAGTATAAGTAATTACTGTACTGTACTCGATAAACAAAATGATAATAATTCAAAAGCTATTTAATAATTGTATTTTGTCAGAGAAAAAATGCACTGATAAACACGCACATTGCTGCGACAAAAAAAAACCATGTAAAACACTTGAATTATTTTCAATTTATAGAAACTGCATGATACTAAACTGGAGGATGATTAAATCTTATTGAGAATGATTGAATTTTGAAGTATGCGCCGATCGAAATTGACCAATCTCTAAGATATATCAGATTTATTTTTATCAAAGTGATATGATGATATTCGTCTTGAAAGGGATACAAATACTTCCCAGTACGAATTGTCAAACTATTATCGTTGTGCTCTAGTGCTCGTGCACAAAAATATAGTACACCCAAGTAATATGTAATATTTAAGCTAATGTGTACATAAATTCAAAATGTCGTAATTATGGTATTAATTAATAATTTTTAGAATTATTTTGCAACATTCATGACTAAAGATTATTCGGATATTATTTTTACAAATATCCCTTTTTTTAAAAATGCATCTGTAACTCAATTATATAACTTTCGAAAAAACGTCCAGTGCCAAAATCTATTTATCATTATTTTTTATTGTATTATCATTTAATTAAAAATCATTTTATATCATTTTATTTGTTACTTAGAATGTTCTGACAATAATGTTATGTGAATGCTTAGCTTTTTTGTCTTAAAAAATAAGTAGACGAAAAATTATTGGCATATTTTTTAATACTCAGTGATATATAAAAATAAAAAAAAGATATTAGATAAGTCTTATCACGAATTCGTATCATATAATAAATATATAGGTATTAAATAGTTTTTATTACACGATCATATTGTTGTAAAGTGACTTTGTCACAGCAGTAAATAAATAATCATATATCGATATATCTAGAATACATTAATAGTTAATTTTTATTACACCTATAGCTAATGCTTTAGCGATATCCACAAGTTGAAAATGAATCAATTAAAAATTGTAACCGGCAATTTATCGCCAACAATTGTCGAATCAAGTATGAAAATATTTAATTGGCTTTATTTGTCTCAAGCATTCATCTCTCTACTGTGTTATAGGCAATTATTTCACGAGCGTCTAATAATTTAATGTTATCACGGACTGATATCACTATTGTACTGCGTTAAAACCAATATTAACTGTATACAAAATTGATCTCGTTAAAATTTAATCGTGAATTTGTAATAGCAAGAGAATGTAATTGCAATACATTTTATTTGTTCGACCGAGTGACATAATTTGCGATTTATCAAAAAGACGTCCATTAAACATATCTTGTATGAACAAAGTGTGATTTATAATCTAATATCATCGTTTTGAAATATATATTAACAACATGCAGGTGACAGAGTAGTTGTGACAGTTCATATGACGTGTTCGTGATCAAATTTATAAAATTCGACAAGCGTATATGCATCTTATTAATTAAATAAATCATAAAATGCACTGGGAGATCGTTAAACACTGAGCTAAAATTCCAGTTAGACATGATTTACGTGTCTACGTCGACAGAAACGAGGGATCCATCGTTTTCGATACCTGCAGAGCAGGTGATTGATCGAGCATGTGCCTGAGAATGTCCTAATCGTCGTCGATCGGCAGCCAACATGCGCGGTATCTCATTAAAAAAGCGTTCTCCATCTTTTTCTATACTAATATTCCTTTTTATCTCAAAATCTCCATGGCAAAGAGTCACATCACTATATATAGCTGTAGAATATAAGATTATACTTATTACCGTATAATACAGATTAGTTTCTTTTAGCCAAGTTATTGATTAGCTAGTACAAGTATAAATTTAGACTCTAATTAACCAAGAATTGACGTAAAAAAATAATACAAGATGTGTCGAAATTTTAACATGATAATTACATGTGTAAGATTTTAAATTATATGTGATATAGGATTAGTAGCTTTTTGTTATAAAATAGTACGAGTCATTTCACAGCATTAATCTTATGTGTTGTTTAAGACTTTAGTGAGATTTTTACTTGCACTCCAACTGAGTTAAACTGTCGATGAAATATATAGAAGCGGTTTGTTTAGACGTGGGCATAATGCGCGGCTAGGCCTGTAATCATCGCGGGAATGGGAGGGTTCATATATATCATGCTTGAATACAGCAACGAAATAAGAGGAATGAGATTTACACTGGTATTTCTACGCGAAACTTATATACACATATGTATATATACACATATATGAATAAGATGAGAAGTAGGTGGAGTCCAGAGTTTGAGTTAATTTCAGGTTACCTATGTTTTTTCGGCTACTTTGTGGCTCTCTTCCAGACTCTTCAACAACTCATTAATAGACCACTATAAAATAATAGAATTCTCATCCTGAAAAAAATTTTAAGTGTTTCCTTATTTTAAAATTCTTTTAATTATTTTTAAAAATTATTACAAATAACATATGATATAATACATACCACCAAAATGAATGATCTGACGAAATTGCTCAGTACCCTCGACCTTTACAAGCATGAAGGTCGGGAAATGGAAGAATAACTAGAGGATTAAATGAGCGCGTATTGGCCACAAGGTCTTATGGTAAATAATTGAAGCGTACCATCTTTCCCTTACGGATATGATTCCGTTGCCAAGCCAACACTATTAATTTATTCCTCAGCTAAAGTATGGCCTAAGTACGGTGCAAACGTGCTTCGAGGCATGAGTTATCCGAGTGCCGATCGGTTCGCGCGATACTGCAAGCACTGCAGAGACTCAGGCAAGCCTGATTGTAGGGTGCTGTAGTGGTGTTTGCTTTATAAATCGTGTGCACGAATCGAAGGCCGATCAACGTCACAACCAATGGGATAAGAAATATAAAAGTTATTAATAAATAAAATAAAAATATGAAAATAAAGTTGCGAATTCAACTGTGTATACAAGCGATCGTATCAAATAGCAATACTATACACAGAAATAATGCCAATTGAAAATGGACCCTCTACTTATATGGATTTTTTTCATCTTCAATATATGACTTGGTGTTATGCCTGAAGCACATATTCAAGTTTTTTTGCATTCGAACGTTGGAGCTTGGGTTTTCTTTCCTCTGATTCTTACAATTAGGTAATAACCCAGTAATTACTGGTCTTCGTCCAACGTCTTGCGTTCCTGTTTACCGTGTGCAGAGCAAACACGCCAACACGCAAGATGATGAAGTTGATAATGATGATGATTACAGATGATGAGTTTCCAAGTTGTGTTATCGTTATTCATTTTTATTTATTTATATATTAATTGACATGTAGCCTGCAACATGAGTCTGAGTTATACAACAGTTTAATGAAAATAATATCATAAACACATTAAAGTGACAACCCACTCTGAATGAAGAAATCGCGACCCGGTTGACTGCCACTGGTCTGTATGAGGAACGCCCCCTTGTTTGAGAAACTATATAGTTGGCTCTCATGCACACCAGCATCCTTGTTGACCCTGATGTCGAAGACGTTGCTCCTGCTCTCGCTTCTATAACTGTGTAGGTTCCCATAAGGTGGTCGGTAGTTAACACTCCATTACATATTCTTGACTATCATCATGAACGTGCCAGTTTGCACTAACTTTCGTTACACTATAGACACACATATACAACTCTTTTCTCTAGAACACATACCACCAAGTCATTTAGATGATGGGCAAACAGAGTTGTCTATATAATCATCAAATATTGCAGATAGGCTTACACGTATTCATCTCAAAAGGCAAACCCGGAAGCTAAATGTATGTGCCGATCAACAGCTGATTCTGTTATGTATTAGACCACATTGAGGATCTCTATAATAAGATGGCGTGGAAGGAGAAACGAAATAAAGTGTGAACATGGCCGATAAATTTGGTTAAACGGCCGCTGATTTTGGGGCCTTAAGAGACTCCGACGGCTGGAGGGTTCATCATGCGTCATTAGGTGCCAGAGGGGGTATACCTTGTGTTTATCGAAAATTATTTTCGCTGGTGCCCCGCAGAGCAGACGTTGGGCCATAGAAGGATAAGAAGGAGCAGAAGAGAAGGATGATGAGCTTGACGAGAAGTGGGACTATAATAAAGCAGATACGAGCAACGGTAATGGACCATAATGAGGCACCCATAAGTATAGGTAATGATCCGTGCAGGATGGTCTCTCCGGTACTCCCGATACTTCCATTTAGTCCATCATATGCTTCCTCCTACCCCAGTCTCTACACTTATTTACTTATTTACTTATACACTTATTTACTTTGCTCGTTTACTTGATCGCCGCGTCGTGCCACACTGCTCATCTCGTCAAGTCTCCTGTTTTTTTTCTGTTCTTTACAACAATCTACTTCTTTCTCTCCTGCAACCACCATGGACCAGTTGCTCGAATCAATTTAATCGCATCTCGTTCGAAGAAAATCATAGGTGTTGGCTGGTTATTGAGCTTTAAGATATTGAGGATCACGCGATATCATTTCAGCTTTTCAATAGAATTGATCTGAAAAAAAATCATTTTATTTAGTATTATTTTGTCGACAATTTAATCTGCAATAAAATACAATAGTTAATCAATCAATGCTTGTATTATTAAAGTTATGATGCATGCATTATTTGAATTAATGAAAGAAGAAAAGCATATTATTATTTGCAAACAATAGCTTTACATTTTGATTATGCCTGCAGCGTAACGTGTTATAAGCATGTAGTAATTGTATACGTGTAATTAACATCTAGTAAGCCAGTGGGGATGATTACAATACCGTATAGCATGTGCTTTAATTTGGCCATATAGAAATCCACGTGCGCGTTACACGCTCTTTCATCGTCAAATGTCGAATAAATGACTTGATTATAATAACGTTTATTTCGTGTAATCAAATTTTTAAATAGTTTTAGTTGCTCACTTCTGTGCTATTATGTGTCTGCTTCGGTATATTTCGAGACGCCTTGGTGATTTATGTTTATATGTAGATGAATGAGTATTGCAGCTGCATGCTTTTGATATTATTGCAGAATTATAAATAATTCCCATGGTGTATATATAGAATGTCTTACACAACTTAACACAACTGAGTCTTGGAGAATTGTATTATACGTAACAATAAATAATAAATCTAATGAACCTGATAAAGTTTGCTCCAAAAAAATTAACTCTCTTGTATTTATTGCTACACAATAGGAGATATGATTGAGAGATATATCTAAAAAAGGCTTGAGAATCATCATGAGATTCGCACTTTTATTTCACCGCATATTGTCATCTGAAAATTATCAAAAGAAATTTCATACAATAGTTTATTATTTGTTGTAAACGTTTTCATTTTTATGTACGATGATTCTTTCACTTTTATTCGAACCCTCTGGAGATATGTTTTTTTTTTTTGGTAAAAATTCACAATAACCATCTAACGACACAAATTTTCCATCACTTTAGTTTTTTGATGACTGAATGATGCTCCAATTTTGATATTTTTTCTCATCCAGATAAAATTTCAGAGTAAAATTGCGTTAAAGTATTAGAGGACTAAGGAAAGATGATGTAGGGATGAGGAATCGAGGGATCTATGCTGGTAATAATAAGAAGGGTGCAAGAGGGAGACAGAGAAAGCAGAAATGAGAAGCGATAAGAGATGGGGAGCAGGCGGGCTCAATGCTCGCGCATTGGTTCTCTGTCAGGGCCTATGTGTGCACAGTCGCCATATTTGAATCCCCACCGTTGGTCATATGTGATGCTGGAGAATATCTCCAGGAACACCTCACATGCGTGATAAATACATATACACTCTTGAGTAAATCGGTTAATATTTGTTGTCCTGGGAGTTGTGTTCAATAGAAAAGTCAATAAGCACTGTCAAGATGCAATAAAATGAAATTTAAAAAATCAGTCACTTGGATTAATTGACAAGAGCTTGTTTAAATATGTCATCTGGAGATGGAACGGTTGATTAATTAGTAGTAGAAAAGCTTCAAAAAATTTACGTGTCCTAAAATCAGTTGGAAAGATAAATTAGTATTTCTTTGATTTCTTCAGGCTCATTTTTCAATTTTATATTCTGCTGTCAATTAGCATCCATCACTTTGTTATTCAACTGCGTATACAGACAAGCAGTTGGAGCATTTTGATGAGATGTTATCAAAGTTATAGAAATCAATGATGAAGAGGTAAATTGTTGAGATTATCAGATATTAGATTGGTGCAGGCGTTGACCTGCAGTGATGCAGCAGGAGCAGGCGTGGGCTTGATGCCGCAGGGATAATACGACGGATGTTGGTGTTGTTGTAGCATACGACATCAGCGTCAAAGTATCAAGCAGGATTACCACGACGTCCTTTGCTCCATGTTTTCTAAAGCCTCCCCCACTTGGGTCACAGCCTCCACACCTACACACTGTGACAAGAAACACTAGAGAGTTCAGACGTATTAATTAAATGGCTCATTTTGATCGGAGGACAAAAAAAGCACGTGAGTTTAACGCCCATCGTCGACTAAATGTGTTTCCCAAGCGGTGGTCCAGCGTCGAGTTGGAGTTTGTTGGATGATGTTCTCGTTGGCTTTTAGCCAATCGTTGTGCTGCATGCACACGCCCAGTGGTAACGCTTATGTTGAAGCCACTCCTCTACATGAGAGTCGATTCTTCCCCACTGTTTGTCTTCCTAATTGAAGAAGGGGAAACACGTAACTTCCTCGAGGTAGCTCTTCCCCACCCTGGTGCACCGCGACCGGCTCGTTTAGCCGGTAATTTTCTCAAACACTAGCAAGCGCTCACGCCAGAAGCATCTGTCCGGTGGGATCGCTCTTTCTCTAGTACTTTTTCTCTTTTTACCGTATCACTGATGAAACCGCGTGATTTTTTGTAAAGTGTAAATTATCAGAAACGTGATAGTGTGTGTAATCATTTAACGCTTGCTAATTATTAAGACTCCAAATTGTTGTACGGAATCGTGAACTGTGTGAAGAACTTGATAGAAGTGATCTGCATGTAGGTGATAATTCTTTACAAGTTGAAGACTCATCTTATTCATCAAATATACTCCTTTGTGGATAATATGCTGCAGTGTTATTAAATGCAGTCAGCGTAGAGCTTTTAGTGATATCTTGAAGAAAATATCAAGTTATTGAATGAGTATTGTTGTGACAGGTGGAAGAAAAATAGTGATCGAGTTAGTAGATACTGGAGATGTCAATGACAAGTGACCCGACGCGGCAATACTCGCGAATGTGCTCGAGTATTATCTCATAATTGGGTTTGGAAGACTTGGTAAAGAGTGATTGGCATTGCCGTCGGGCGACGGTGGTGTTTCAAGTTGTAGCCAAAGAAGACAGTTGAATAGTCTAAGACACACCCAGCATACGATGATGCCGCTCGCTCCGACGCCAATTGTCCCAGTACCCTCGAAGCCTAAGATCGGTTTTAGCATCGACTCAATCGTAGGCGGTGGGGGTCGGGAAGACAGATTGCATGAAAGAGTTGAGATTGAACGTGATGGCAGCCCGATGGACGTCGAAGGTTCATCGTCGCCGCGAGCAAGACGAGTTGTCAGATCTCCTGGTGCTCATTCTGAAGGTTCAGATCGTCCGTTATCGAGAAGTTCATCCGTTGAATCGTATCCTACGTCTAGGCACACACCTTCAATGCACAATGGACATCCTATAAATAATCAACGCCATCATCATCACCACCATCATCATCATCCTCACCTTCCTGGACTGACAACTCACTTAGATTATAGTAGAACACAAGCACGAAGTCATAGTGGTAGTTCAACACCTAATAATAGTCCAAGCCCACCGCACAGAATATCTCATGGAGATTCGCCAGTAAGTGCTCATCCTCAACCACCACCAGGTGTTGTAAGACCAAGTCCAAACTACCTCGGGCCACCACCTAGTGCAGCTACTGCTGCAGCCGTCGCGGCTGAACAAATTAAATCGCTTTATGGTCTTCAACCAGGCCATGGAGCTGGCCCACAAGGCCAAACGGAATATCATACCCAACAATTTGCGCTAGCTGCTAATTTAGCAGCAGCACAACATTTTCAAGCCTCAAATTTGGCCGTTGCACTTCAAGCTCATCACGGTGCACCACCACATGGAAGTCCTCATGGACCTTATACACATGGAGCAGCGACCGGTGGTCCTCATCCTTCACCACATCCTCATCAGCCACCACGAGACAGCTATCCATTGTTTCCTTGGCTTCTGTCACGCCATGGAAGACTCTTTCCACACAGGTTTCCTGCAGGTAAGTTGTCACAAAATTAGCATTAAAAAAAAAAAATATACAAAGTGCCAGGGAGTATCATTATGTACGTTATTTTACATACCGAGTTCTCAGAGAAACGACACACAATGTTTTGTAATTAAGATTTTGTAACGAGTCGTGCACAGCTGACCCTATCTTGTATACAACTGCTTCTCTCTCCTCACATCTCTCGTCAGCTGAGTGCGTGTTTAATCGTCACAGCTCGACATCTCATGAACCAGCATCGCGTGTTGATAGAGGCATTAACCCTTTCCTTCTTCCGCGTTTGTAAATCTCAAACGATAACGCATATACGTTTCAATGAGCTCAAGTTCTTTCGTTTTATGACGCAGTCCATTAAGATATATATTTATTTTTTTACCATCATATCATTAGCTTCTCTATCTAATAGCTTTTATTTTATTAATATAACCACACATAATATCATTTAGGCATTTGTGTAACTTTGAAAATGAAAACAATTGCTTTTTGTCTTGTTAACAATATAATTATCGTTATCATTAAGCACTAATGACTGTCATTAAATTGGCTTCACCTTCACACGTGTTGACGTTGTTCGCATTAGCTTATAATAATTGTTTTCGTTTTTCTACTTTGGGTCAGTCAGGCTTAACAAAGTTGCCTATCTTTTTCTGTCAAGTTGATTCTCAAGGAAGGCCAATAAATCTCTAATGACTTGGTGTTCTGCTGTATCATTGACCTAGTATGTAAGTGAAACGTTTGCCGATGGGTATATCAAGAAATAAATGCTCAAATACCATTTTTCTCTTTTGCTTATTTGTTTTTTACAAATGAATACTGGATACATCTAATTACGCATTAAATTAGATGTAGCTACGTGCATTCTTAATTAATGATGACTATTTTCTGAGATTTATATTTCCTCGTATTTAAATCCTCCGCTGGTTGTTTAAGAAATTGAAGTAAATGCTAATATATATCATTTAATTATCTACAAGTTGTTTTATAAATTAAACTTCATAAAAGTGAGGAAATTGTTAAATAAATGTCGATTATTATCGCTTGTGTGACAATTAAAATGTATACTAATTCGGTTTTTTTAGCTTTATCTTACAAGCAATTGACAAAGGATCATATATCGATTTTAGCACGTTATGTATGTACATAATCTAACTGGTGGTTTATTACATACACGTTAGCACAGCTAGTCATTATTCTGAAGTAATTTAAATAATTGTCATATAATAGTTTTGAAGTAAAGCAATTAACTTCATATTCACATTTACTTTACTTTACTTTATAGAGTCGAGGTCAAGAGTGTCATGGTGTCACGATATCAGTTATTGATATCAACTATTTCAACGATCTATTCGTTACATGCCCATTCATTTTCAATGCTATGATGTTATAAAGAATCATAAAGGAATCAACAACTCGGAAAAGAAATTTGTTTGAACAGCCTAACGTTTCTAGATATTATACGTATGATGACATTTGATATTTGATATACTCGAGTCAATCTTGACAAAAGCGGGTTAATCGTCATTGTTAGAACGTCGTTTACCCTCGGACACGCTCCATGGGGAGTCTGTTGCTCACGATAGAAGTTTGAAAATTTTTTTTCTTCCGACTCCTCTTCAGATTCCTATTGTAAAGTCGTTTCACGCATTTTCTAACCCTCGGTCCATGTCATTGTCGCGGTGAAAGTTCCCGCCCTCCTGGTGTCTCTTTTTCCTCTTCATTATTCCATCAAACATTATATTTACTAGGATTGGCAATATACCAGCATTTTCTTTTTTTTCTTCTTTTTTTCATCCATGACTTCTTCATTGGTTTACTGCTCAGCCACACATTTCTCTTTTTACTATTTTTCCTTTCATTACATTGTGATGCTTTCTTCAATCTATTTATGCTTCAACATCTTTATGTATTATGTTTGAATGTTATTATTATAATTATTGAGTGGATATTACACTCGATGAATTTTACATAAAGAACTTAAAGTCCAGTAATGACGTCAAATTACACTTCTTTTAAAAAGTTTTCTTAGGATTTTGACGACTTAAAGATGGAATAAATTGATCTGGAAAATAATGAAAGATAATTAATGCGTAAAAAAATGATTTTTTTAACACAAGAATAAACTAACGATATAATTGCTCGTACTGTAGGTTGTTGTTAAAGTGTACAAACGTACATTTTGCAATCGATCATCTGGAAATAAGTATATATGTGTAGAGTCAAAGGAGCGCACGCGATTTTCTTTAGCAATTGACGTAGCAAATCGTGGTTGCATTAAGAGACCGCGTCATATAATAATACTAATGACCTGACGGGTGAGAATTTCTCGAAATGTATACTCTACCAATCCTCAGTGCAACGATTAATTAAAAGAGCATTAAGGCACGAAAGAAAGAGAAAGATAAAAAGTATAAATAAGAATCAATGGCTGTTGGTACGAATAACACTCAGGAGTACTTGATTTTATATATGTATAATATAATATATCTATTTATATACATACAACTTGCTTCCATATTTTATTTTCTCTTTCTTCTTTCCCTCCTGCTCAACGTAGAGTAGATAATTTGATACGTGTTCACCGTTTAGTATTATTTTCGAGTAATTCCAAGTCGCTCTGGGCATCTCAGCTGGTAACTCTCCAGCTTCTCGTATAATTATTGCCCGTCATCCTGCTTTTTTTCCTTCACTTCAGACTTTCAAGAATTGCAGTAAAACCACTTAAATCGACGCAAAATGAATTGGAGTCACCATTAGCAGACATTAACGCTCTATATAATGATTTCTTTACAGCTCCAATTCAATATTCACTTTTTTATAAATCTGCAACAAATACATATTTATATAAGGTAATGATAGTGTATAATTGTTACTTAAAATAATTTTTAAACCGTGAAAATAAGTGTATTTGCAGGTTATTTTGCTTCAATGAAAGGGCCAATGAAAGGCAGTTTCTTTTATGAAATTTTAATTCATGTTTTGAAATGCTGAATAATTTCTTATAAATAACACGTTCTTGTCGATCATCCTTTTGCTAAAAATACTCCATTATGGAAGAGCCATGTTTTGAATTGAGTAAAAACCTGGTTTCGAATTATTGTGGATGATTTGTTTTTTGTGTGGACGTCATATTTAAATTTAATGAATAATTGGTCGAAATTGATTACATGTTACCATTTTTTATTTTTGTTAGAGTTCAATAACATTTCGGAGCCTTCTTTTTAGTTATGTAGCTTTTCAAAGAGTACAAATAATTTAGAATAAATTTATAAACAGCTTAAACATTACTTTTTGCTTCTGTAAATGTCTCATTCATTCAAAATTATGATCTAATAAGTTAACAGTAATAAAATACAATTTTTCCTCATAAAATTTAAATTTAGGTATTAAGAATATAAATAAAAATTTTATAACATTCATACTTTTTTTATTTTTCATTATTAATATCAAGCAAACTTTAATGTATTATTTATGAGGAACTATTTTATTAGTAACTTGAACACCTGGATCAAAACCCCATTTTATAATCAATTTTTTTTCTCCTTAAGGCTCAATAACAACCACATCATTATATAATTTTAATTCTAATCTTTTAAGCAATAAATTTAAAAAATCTTTAGTTTATTCGACCCAACATATTTTTTATTTCTATATTTTAACTCTAAAAACCATTTATGATAATGAAATACTCGATAATTTATCATATATGATATAAAAATTTAGAAATGTTATCATAAATGCAACTGTATAACAAAATAATAATATTTACCATCGTTAAAGATGCATTAAATTTACTCTGAATGCCCGGGTAATTTTAAATATAGAATTTTCTCTGAATGTGCTTTTTATTCCTCTTCATCAAAAAATATTTTATTCAATTGTTGTATGAAGGTACACACCTGTGACCGATGTAAACTTGAGTTGCAAGCGGAATAGAATCAAATGTCTTTCATTTCACCTGAAGCAAAAAATAGAAATATACAGGATATAAACTAAAAATAAAATTTTCTATTAGTTAAATCGTGTGTAGATTTACATATACCTTTTGCACATCTATCGTCACTCTTTTCCGTTATTACTCGCAACGTGTATCTTGAACGACTTCCGGCGTCGCTGGCGCGTGTATCGGACGATCGACAGGCACCTTTCGAGGTAGAATACTCAATTAGGTGGTCACAATAACACACCCGCGCTCGCGCCACTACACGCACTTTTCGCTTATCTTTACGCGCGCGCCCTTTTACATACTTTAGCATCGTGTGAGTATATTTTATACACGAACGAGATGCTTTTTTTTCATTTCGTACATCATTCTTATGCCAACGTGATAAAATAACGATCAGCAATACTCATCTTGATGAACTGAATTATTCACTGCTCATCCATTGATTTATCCTTTGCGTTTTTAAACTACAAATTGCACTTAATCCCACGCTGTCAATACTAATTTTTTCTTGCATAATTCATCGAATAATTTATCTGTTTATCACGTTTTAATAAATCTTTTTCATTTTGTTATTTCATTCCAGGTCCAGACATCCCAGGATTCCTCTTACAGCCATTCAGAAAACCTAAAAGAATAAGAACTGCATTTAGTCCAAGTCAATTATTAAAATTGGAGCATGCGTTTGAAAAAAATCACTATGTTGTTGGGGCTGAAAGAAAACAACTTGCGCAATCTCTATCGCTCACAGAAACTCAGGTAAATATCGTTATAATTGATACTTCATTAACTCTGTCAATCATAAAACATCAATTTTAAAAAGTGTCAGGTTTTAATGGTTAAAAGTTGTCGTGTAGATCAAGTAAAAATTACCTGAGTTAATTAGGAATTAAAATATTACCTATAAGCTGGTTCGTGTAATTCGTGTTGTGCAATAAAATGGAATAGTCTACTTAGTGAACAAAAGAAGCTAATTGAAAGATAATGTTTGAATAGCATAGCCTATAGCCGAACAAGTGGACAATGAGCTTCGATAATTGTTCATATATTTACTCGTCACGTTTTATCTATCACTCAATTTGATATCCCATATATATAGCGTTATAGTCCTATGAATTTTATTGTAACCATTAAATATTCTATTCAATTAACTAATCTCTCACTATCCATTCCATAAGTGTGTACACATATAGACAGTATGTATGCAATTAATTAAACTTACCAATTATAATACATGAACGTTAAGGTAAAAGACAAACGAAGGAGAGAAATAATTTGGTAGACAGTTGGGTGATGAGGCAATTAATTAAAATGGAAATTATTATGAGCTAAAGAAAATAGAGAAAGAAGGTGATTACACGGATTACAGTAATGCGAGACTGAGAATATGTCCGGTATATAAATCAAGTTGTATGAAAGTGTCGTCTTGCTTCAATTTACAGTCATGAAATAGTCTTCTCTTGCTCGTTACCATCTACTATGTCGCAAAATATACCAATGCACATAAACATAAGACATCCTGTACGATGCGTAAATCAACTACTTAATCGTTTCTTATCGTCTTCAGAAAATATTATACACAAGTGACTTTGACAGCAGCTTATCAATTATACTTTATCGTACATTTTTACAAGTTGTAACCAAATTTGTGTTCTGACCATTAATACAACAGACCCAACGATATCGAATTGCTCAGATTAAGTATCGAGTGAATATATTTTATAGTTCACCTAAGAATGCGAGCGATTCCGAGAGATATTTGTTGCTATAGTAAGCATATAAGCTGCTAACTCGCGATCCATTACGCTGCCACGTACGGTAATGGAGAAGTTTGCATATTATGCAGGCCGCGTACAAGTCTCTATGCATAATGAGGTGCATCGTTGCTTGACTGAGAATTAAGTGAACACTGCCATTCATCAGTGCCCAATGAGGGCGTGATTCTTCTTTTTTATATACGTTTTCTTGGTAATACTCTAACTTATTATTAAATAATGATTTATAATTAATCATCAATTGATCGAGTAAAACCTGAATGTTATCAATAATGATAATTAAATTAGCCTTATTGCTATTTAAATAATTTTTGAATATTTTATTCAATATGCAAATCAGCTTGTTATTAATTAGAGTAATTAAATAATTCTTTCTACAGTGTGATTGTCGTAAATTTTATATCGAATAATCTACTCTCAATTATATCGTTCAAGTTATTGTAATTATTATTAATATAAACTTGATTGATGAAGTTTGTTTGTTCTGATCACATTACCTCTCTATTACATTCACTAAGAATTATTAGCTCCAGTAAGTTTCACGCATTGTCTTATTATGGAATTGTATAATTAAAAATGTATACAGAATTAAAATCGTAATCCATCATATAATTAGCCGAGGGTTGATCTGAAAAATAAAAAAATATTATTATAATTAATTTGATCTGTCTGATAGTCTGCAAATTATGCATCTCATAATTGAATTATGTAGGTAAATAATGTAATGTATTCGAAATAATTATGTATAGGCAACGATACATAATAAAAATGATCCTATCATATAAAAATTTGTAGATCAATTAATTCAAGAGCTAAGTTGTTGAACAGAAAATATTTCGGCATAAATTTTTGCATAATTAATAAATAACTTGTTATGATGCCCGTCATTAATGATATATGAGCTTTAGATATCTGATCGAAAATTTTCTCAACGATTATTATAAATATTACAGAAAGTGATGGTCAAATCTGATTTCATTTTTTATCATTCTTTTTTTGAGCATATACAAAAAAAAAAATATTATCCCGAATATTCAACAGTTCTCACAACTAATTTTAAAATCATCATATGTATTCGATGAGAGTAACGTCTTTTTACATGTCAAGTTGTTTAGAATTCTCAGAGTAATTCTTGTAATGATAAAAAAATAATAGTTTTCGTGGTATTTTATGATATAAAAATTATCTACAAAATATCAATTAATTATTTTGAAATGGGTGTAATAATTGATAAGTTAAAATATTTGGGCCTTAAACCTGATTACTTACAATTATAATTACAATAATCAAGATAAAAAACAATAGCCTCTATTTAGAATTATCTCCATTACCGCATTCCAATTTACAATTAATAAAATAGAAATTTAGTATGAGTTAACATTTGTATTTAAGCGGAAAAATTTTAATTAAGTTACACAATTTATGTAAATAGAAAGGAAATAGTCGCTTATTTGCATTGATAGCTTCACGATAGTAAGAAAAGGAATCTTATAACATAGCATTTGAGTTTATAAGACAATAAGAATCAATTATTCGCAAATTTACAGTCGTTATAAAATTCAGATAGAATTTCTTACAAATGAAACATCAGCGAAATTTGTTAATAATTCAATTGTACACGATGTAAAATGCCAGACAATATTATATATTCTATAAGAAATTATTTTCTGCAATTATAATTATATATTTTAATCTTCAGTTGAATCTAGACACATATGTAATTATGTAATTATTTGAGAATATTATATATTGCAGGTTTCATTATAGTACCTGAAGCCCAAATTATCACCTTCTGTTTCTCGTTTCATGAAAAATAAGTCCATAGTACACTGGAGGAAAGAATTTGTTTGTAGAAAATAAATTGATTTCTTCGAAACTTATTTCAAGTATTTGCCTAATGTCTACACACTTTATAATGATGATTGAATATTTCTTTCAGTTCTTATAAAAACATTGTAGTCTGAAAGTAATTTTTTATTAATTAATGAATATAATAACAAGTGTTACACACTTAAAAACATTAGAATAACTTTGGTTATAAGTAAAGTAAAACTTTAAAAATTCTGAAGAATTAATGTTAGTGTCTATGAAATATTGATATTCAATTAAATATTTTTAAATTTAAAAAATATTTATTAAAATACTATGGTATTTAATAATAAATGAATAAAAGTAAAAAGTTGATTTTTCCTTAGAGTTTTTCAAGTCGACTTTCTCAACTTCTGATTGTGAAATTCCACAGAGCAGTTCGATGAATAAAAAGTAATTCAGTTCAATATTAATGATAGTAAATGATAATTAACATATCTTATTTAAACTAATTATTATTATTATTTCATAACCAATAAAGAAGTTATCTCATTTTTATATATATAAAAAAAAATATCTCTCTGTGTAGATTGTTCAATATTTTAATTTGACGAAATAGGTTTGTTAACAACATTGCTCTTTAATCATGAAAACTCAATTTATTACCTACTTTAAAGATCAGACAATAATTTTTCAGATTAATTATATTGCAATTATTCTTTAGAATACTTGTCTTCATTTGAATAACGAACGTGTAGTAAGCTGCAAAATCTATGTTTATAAAAAAATTTATAAAAACTAGTAAAAATAATATAATTATTCGTATTAATGCTTATTTCATTCATATTAACATAAAATTGAATTTTTCTCTCTTTAGATTAATTGATTTTTCAATTATTTAACATTTTCTAATAGTTTCTTGAACATTTAGAAAGTGCCTTTGTTGAGCCTACGTTCGTTCTCACGAATTTATTTGTAAAGAGCTCTAACGGTATGTTAATAGAGAAAATAACATTTGTTAAAACATTGTAGCTTATTTTAAAAAACAACAGATTTAAAAAAAATTATACATCTAAATATTAAAAACAATTATTTTTGAATTTAATTTAAAAATAGTGTGAGTACTTCAAATATTTTTTGAAACAAATTAAAACTCTTTTTCATTGAGTATAATTTTTCATAGATTATTTACATTACGTTGCAAAATTTTTCAAGCGCCCTTTGTATGATGTTATACAATTGATGACACAACAGTCATATTGCATGTAAAGCTTTTACAAATATAGCGTGACAATTCCCATCTCTCAATATATATCCTTGCGGATTTGACAGAACAAACACAATTTCCTGAGTTAGTGATTATATATATAGACATATATATATTATATACTCTATATAAAGTGCATCGATGTCGACAATTTTGTCCTAAGTAAACATACTGGAAGAACGCTGGAAGCGTAATAGCGTTACTCTGAGGGATTCAGTGTAATTCTCATAGAGTATATCTGAGTATATTATATCGTTTCCTCACCTTAGTGATCCTGTGCTGTTATTAAACGCGTCCAAAATGGAAAAATAATATCGTTAGTTTATTTAGCGCCAAGCCATCCGTGAGGGATTAAAAAGACTGTTATGGATACATATAAACCGTGTGGAAGCGTGATCCAGAAGAACTCACAGGATTACATCCTAATCCAAGCAATCAAACTTCACTTTATTTTGTTAGTATACACCTTAGGAACGTATATCTAAAAACAAAATTATATTTTAATGATAAATATTGTAAAATAAATGTCAATGTTTATACAAAAAATGTGTGTATCTAAAAACAAACACAAACGATCAACAATAGATAATAACTGACTCAGTCGTGGCCTTTTTTTCTTTATTATTCAGTAAGATGGATTAATGTGAATCACAGTTGACATTAGACTTGTTTTACAACTATCTAATTCTTCTTAATCCATTTAAGTATGATGTTTTCTTCATTAAATAAATTTTAAATCATTATACTGTTAATGAAAACTAAGAAAAAAAGAGATGAAAAATTAATTAGCATCCCAACGTGTCACGCCAGATGTTTACTCGCAGTCGACATATCTCGATTTGGTCTCGCCCTTATGAGAAACCGATATCTTGCGCCCGACGTTCACACTCGGTTTACCTATAAGGTCTTCGCCTGTCACTTAGCAGCGTACAGTATCAAAGACATGCTTTCAATTACGTGAAATGCCGCCTTCTTCTCAGCATTTCATTGTAGCAAGCGATGTTCAACGGATGGACAGATGATATCTCTCGCTGCAACCAATAAAAAATGGCTTGACAAGTTTTGAATGTAGGCAAGAGTCGGTGCAAAATACAACAGTAAAAGGGGGTTGTCCTCACGTTTATAGTCTACGGATCTATGGGGTGGCTGCTACAGCTTTCCTGAGAAAGATTTTAACCAATGACTGGAGCCATCGAGTAGGCTGTTACTATGGCTACCATCGAGGGGTGATTATTAAATGGGGGTAACTCGATTAAAGCCACAAGACTCTAGAGTGTTGCAATAAATGCCGAGGGATGAACGAGGAGGAGTCGCTAACGACTCCGTTGAGTAAATGCTATAAGGTGTCCTTTATTTGTCCTCTTAATCATCTAATAAACGTTATCCCTTTTCTTTGGAGCTATTTCTTCTTTAAACTTTTATCATAAAACCGGAATGATCTATAAAAAAAAACAATTAATAATTATAATTGTGTACACACGTGACATAAAATATCATTTTTATAGAGGGAAAAATTATAAATAGGCTTACATATTTGTTGGATTTATCTGTCGTGCGTTAATCCGGGTCTTGTCAAAACCATGTCTCTTCCACAGAATGTGTTAGGTAAACAGCACGGCTGTTGTATCCGAATAAGCGTGAAGACTTGTGGTACAATGGCGATTTAACACGTCGGTGACTTGACTATCCAGCATTGCAGTTCCATCTCATTTCACCCTCGCAGTAGAGACGTGTCCCCTTTTTATATCCAAAACCGTTGGGGTCGTAATGTACTTACTGAATGCATCGCGAAGTCAATTCGCGGACAATAGAGATTTGAGGGTCAAAAATGAATAGTTTGAACTGTATAAGGACATAACAAATGAATAATAGTTTTGAATGAATACTCTGTAGTCTTTAGCTGCTGGAAGATATTGCAGGGTAAACTTTTGGGAAGTGGTGAAATGAAAAGGCTCATTTATATAATAAAACGTTTAATTTGATATGATGGATGTTTGAAAATTTGTTTCATGGTTTATTGAATAAAAATAAGCTTTTTATATTTATGAGGATTTTTTGAACTGTGATTTTTTAGTGTTTATTTCATTGAAACATCAAATACCGGAAAATAATATACTACTTAATATCAACAACTTGGAGTAAACTTTATAAATGTCAGTACCATGTCATGACCTACTTTACGATTTTCAGTTTAATTAATTACTGTCTTTCATGAATGAGAATGTAAACAGAATACCATTGATGAAAATTTAAGTCAATTAACTATTTTATTAAAATAAGTCTATCAATTTTAATTAAAATAATAAAAATCTTAATTAATACAGAATAATTAAAGTTGTAACATAGAATGATGTAAAAAATGATTGAATAATTTATGTTTCAGGTGAAAGTCTGGTTCCAGAATCGTAGGACGAAACATAAACGAGTTCAACAAGAGGAAGAAGCAAAAGCTCAACAGCAAGCGGGTGGTGGCAATAATGCTAATGGCAATGGAAATAGTAACAATAAAAATACACACCATGTTAGTAAGTGGCAACAAGATACTGGAGATTATCATCCAGAGGATGATGAAGAAGATGATTCAGAGTTAATTGATCCCAAAGCTGAAGATTGTTCGAGTGGGTCTGAAGCATAGCTAAACGTTACGTGCATAGATTAAGATAGTAAAAAGAGACATGATCTTGGTTGGAGCTTTAAAAGAGTTTTTAAGCTTCAAGAATAGAAAGAAAATTCCAAGGATAAAGTATCCTTTGCAGCGGAAGCCACTATAATGGAGCTATTGTCTGTCGAGACTCCCAGAAGACAAGACACTAAATGGCCGCGCGTGTTCCGCCGGAAGATAGAGGGAAACTCGTCTTGGAAGAATGACTTCACAGGGGGATGATTGTCTCTGTTGGCACAGTAGTATATCCCTCAGTGTAATTCTCAAACGATGAACTCTCTGATGTATTATATACTTTTACTTGTGAAGATTTACTATAACCGTTGCATCCACTTGCAGCCATATTTTCAACGCCATATGTGAAGCCATGCATGTGTGTACATAGAAAAACATTGATTGGAGCAACGTGTGCCAAACTTGATTATTTGAACTGAAATGTAGAAGAAATAAATGATTATTGTGCGATGATAAACCCAGTGTAATAAATAATGATTAAGGTGTATCTATATATAAATAAATAAATATAGTTATAAATAGATTATCCACAAAAACGGATAAGCGCAGTATTCCTTTGAATAAAAGATGAATGGTAATAAGCGATTAAATGATACTTTAAATTATTTAGTTGTATGAAAAAATAATTGTGCGTGAAAGAGAATTTGTATATAGATATACATATATAAATATAGATAAATATATTATATAAATATAATAATTGTAAATAATAAATTGTGATTTTGATCAAATAGAATATAATTGTACCGATTATCGAAAGGATATTAAGTTGGTGTTCCATACGATTATAGCTAAATAAATTATATGAAAAAATGATGAAAAGAAACAGCAGTCTCAGTCAATTGATTTACCCTGCTGAAGTAGCTTTTAAAGTAAGTTAAGTCCTGTCGGTCTACGCCAATGGTCAGATACTCTTATAGTTGTTCTCCTGAGGCTCTTGAGATGCCAAGAAGAGCAGAAGGACGTTATATAAAAGGGACTGAGCCGCGGGTTTCGGACCTGCTAATTATGTAAATTGCCGGTGTTGCAAATTACCTTCCCAGTTTGCGATCATTCTGTACACAATCCACAAGGGCTGAGCATCAACACACCTCGATCGTAGAGGGAATTGGTCGGTTCTCGTGTCTTGTCGATGTTCAACAGCTTTGACTGTCCAATCTTTTTGTCATCTTAAAATCATAAGATATTTTCAATTAGTCTATAAGTCCTGCTGTGAAGAAAATTAAAATCGTGGGATTTAGTTATGTAAACTGACCATGAAAGAGATGTGTTGTAGCATAAAAAAATAGGTGATGTTGGGATCCGAACAAATCGTTTAATTCTGCTTCAACGATCGAGGTAATGACGGCTATAAACTGTAACAGAGCACACAACGTTCTGGGTTCAACAAATTAGGCCTGACAGGAGAAATAGCGAGTCTGTGTGGAAAGAAAGAGAAGTAAGCAAGACGCTATTACGAGTGTCTGATAGTGAAAAGTAAGAGGAAAGATGTAAGAAAGAAGAGAGGTCATAAGAGAATGAGAAAGATGGAGAAACCCGCGTGGAAACACGTACACGTGTATTATACCTGCCTTCCAAACTAGCTTTGGGATGCCATGCAGGTCTGCCCGAGGAGAAGACCCGCGTTCCAGGAACCGCGCGTGTAAAACACCAGTTAAATCGTGCTTTCTAGTCGGAATGGAGAGGAAAACAATGCGAGACGGGCCTTAAAGTGCCTGACAAATGTTCCGGGCCCTGGATCGAGATTCTCGCGCCTTCTCTTGCTCATTTCTTTCTTTTTATACTATTTCCATGAGCCACCAGCTTGCTTCGGCAGCTTATCATTCTTCTCACCTTGAGTAATCCGTGATTATTTTCACTCATAAAAGTCCCATCAATGTCTTAACTAACTTGTGGTATCTAAAACAAAATTAATTATACTCATCATTTCTCATTTGCTTATTTTAAATACCTACTTTGTTAATGTAATCGATAACGGTTTCTTTTTTATCGAAGAATAAATTAGAATAATTTTAAATGTGCTTCCATAGTGTATTATAGAGCTTTGTGGATCTTTGAATATCATAGAAGACGCGATCAAAAACGATGGGAGGCTGTGTTAAATTTAAATAACATGGAAATAACATGATCCTGTAGGGATATTTGGTAGGATACAAATTTCACATGGAACTCCGATTACTTGGACCACCAAACTTGTATATGTCCAAGTCTCTTTCATCATTCTATGCACATTATTATTGTACATTGTACATTTTATGAGTCTATAATTTTTCTCTATTGTTGATCATTCAGTAATAATACGTATTATAATCGTGGTGTAACATTTTAATAGACAACAGGGAGATGTGTAATGGACAAAATGAGATAGCACAAGGGTTATGAGTCATATCAATGAAATGACACAAAATTCAATATAAAAGATGAAGGAAAAAACTCGGATGTGGTTATTCAAGGTGAGCAGGAGAGAAAGTACAGTTGACAGAGGGGTCGAAAGAGTAAGAGAAAAGCAAGGAAAATAAAGCTAAGAGACTCGTTGTCGATGTGTGTGGGTCCAGGTCCAAAGGTGTCGGGTTACCAATGAAATAGCGATACCATTTTGTTTACAATATTGTCGAGGGTATGCTCATGGTGCTTGCTTGCGAGTTAACGAGGCGAAGGTGGAGATGAAAAAGGGAAAAGAGTAAAAGAAAGATTCCTGAAGAATCACGCTCATATGTAAGTACATGTACAGTCCACATGTTCGTATAAACATATAATATCTTTTCTTGGTGACTTGGCCAACACTTCCGGCGACATCGGAGGTAGTCTTTGGCCTGGTATCACTAGATACACTAAATGATATAGTTATGTATATCCTTAAAAGTCTTAACTCTCTTCCACTAGTTAAGATATGGACGTAGCACAGTTGGCATTAGCACTCGTAGAAATGCAAATTCAAGCAGTGAGACGTTATCCAAGCTAACATGTCATTAGCCCCCGACTGCGTTGGCCCAGGTTATGAAAGCTTTGCGTGGCTGGCCCACATTAGATTTCTACTACGAGTTCTGATCTCCAATCGTAGAAATTCCCTGCCAAGTAGGATGAACGATGCGCCGTTATTAGGGAGGTTACGATTCTCTTCTTTATAGCCGTCACTGTCGATGTGATTTTATCTATGTTACGTTTGAATATCAAAAACATTCTGAATCTTCATTGAATGTAAACCTTATAATATGCATAAATCCGAAGAAACGAGTTTATTAAAACACATAACTATTGCCACCCAACATGGTTAATTATTTAAATTTTTCAGGTCGTTCACCATTGCTCCTCTTAGCAAAATCGTATATTGAACTACGTATCGATTAAGTTTATTCGAACCCTTCATCAACGACGACCGCTATTGCCGCTCAGTTTACATCCTTTTTTCCGTTCTTCTGCAAGCAAAATATAAACATATTAAATTACTTTTGTAGGCTATTACTTTTATTTGTTTTACTTTGGAGCAATTAAACTTGTGAGTGCTACCTGGGTATTTTGGAGTAGATATTTAGTATGAAGCAGCTGGTAGTCAGTTTGGATAAACTGATCTTGATGTAAAAAGCTGGCTAAGAGTAATTGTGAACAAGTTAGATAATAAATAACCATCATGAATATAGGTTTGTATACATATGTAGTATGTGTATACGTTTAAAGATAAGTCCCTTATTGCTTCGTGAACCGTAATGGTACAACAGCAATTTAATAATCCAAACGCGTTCGCTCGACTCAACTGCACGTGAACGCGCATAATGTTATTAATGGTGGCGTACCGTTTATCCTGTAGGATGAGCACACATAGACTTCTATCACGTTTTTCACTTTGCTTGTCCACTTCGTAAGTTCCTTAAATTGTACGCACGACATCATCGGAAACATGGTTGACGACATGTGATGAGCCATTCAGGTATACTTAATTCGACGAATAATAAATAATACTGTGGTGTTCATCGATTTACCTTGAAGAAAGAATAAAACGATGTAAAATAAAACAAGTAATAAATATATAGTGGATGAATGATCTGAGAAAAGGAGGTCGAGATTGAGTGGGGTTGGAGAGAAAGAGAGAACTATGGGCTATAATCACCTTAATGAATAGTCGTTCTGCGTAATTATGGTGAAGCTGCCACACAGGTTTGCTTACAACTTCCAACACACAGTTTGCAGATATATTTTCTTCTTATTCTTCATCATCGAAAAAGAGTACTATTGAGAATCCTCAACGAATCTTAGTACTTATTATCGATGCACGAACTCCACGATTCTTCAAATGGAGATAATCCTCATCCTCTCTATCATTCTCTGCAGTCTCCTCAGGTTCACGGCTAAGTCATTTCATCATCATGACTTCTCGCTCCTTAAGATTCGTGGATAGCATGTAATAGTGTGCTGCAAAGAGTACGTAGTTGGAGCCCTTGGGGAATTTAGACACATGTCTCTGAGCTAAAAAGTATCCACGAGTGACGTTTTGTTGAAAAGAATAAAAAAAGTCCAGTTGCCTTGAAGGTCCTATATAGTAGTACACTCAACTAAAAGGAGCGTTAGGCGGGTTATCGCTCGGTTGTTGAGTCTCAACAACGTGGCAATTATCAGCCATTCCTTGCAAATAGCCAATGGTTAGTGATAATTATCTACTGAGAACAACACACCATCAGATCTATATACCGGGTGCGTCTAATCAATAACTACAGATAGAAAGATAGACAATTGTTTATGTTCTTGTGTTTTGTCAATATGGTTATTCCCCTTTAATTTGTTTCTTTCTTGATTTAAGACAAATCTACAACAATTATCGATATCTTGATATGATTAAAAGTGTTGTACAATAGATTTAAATGCGCGGTTCAATAAATAAAATACACGCGAACACACACAGTGTACAACGCGTTAAGCACTGACATTAGGGTAATAAGCGTGTAAAGAGAAATAGAGCTAGAATTGTGAACAGTTTCAGTTATATATCTATGTACGTTATACCA